AAATTCTTCTCAGTCAGTTCTAAGGAGAGATGCTTGAAGAATGCCATCTAGTGGCTACAAGCAATGTAAGAACAAATACATATTTTTTTTTTGTTTCCTCTGCTAGATACTGTACTATATGCTTGCGAAACTACTACTATTTATGGCCTGCCATATACTTTTAAATCCTATTAATGACACACAGTACACACAGGTATAGATAAATATGCACACAAACGTAAGCATTTCCTTATGTACTTATTTAAAATATTTCTAATCCTCCCTTATTGCTAGCAATCCCAGGTGTGGTACAGTAAACCAATTTAAAATCAACAATTATATCCAGCCAATAATAACATAAAATCAACAGCTGCCCAGCGGGAAGGATGTTTAAGACTGATATTACTTGTAATCTGTCTTGGGAGGATTTGTATCCTGAAAGATAGGATTAAATAACTGACATGAATGAATGAATAAATGAATGAATGTCCGGTAAGAAATTAGTAAACAGCAGACAATACATAAATACTTGGCCTAGAACAAATACCTTACAAATGCCTGATTGTAAGAACAAATACCTTACAAATGACTTGCCTGCATAAGCGAGTCTTCAGCTGGTGACACAAACCAAAAAGAGATGGTGGCAGCTGTATTTCAAAAGGGAGGGCATTCCACATACAGGATGCTACCACAAAGAAGGTTCTCTCCCATTCCCCCCCCCCCATAGGATATCAATGGCAAAAAGATGTTTCCAAATTTATCTGGCAGGGGAAGAAACCAAGGATTAAATATAAACTATTAACAGAGACCAATGAAAGAGGTGGCTTCTCTCTGCCGGATTTGAAATTATATTATGAGGTGTCATGTCTCTGCTGGCTACGGGAGTGGATAACCTTAAAAAATACAGATATCTTAGACCTTGAGGGTTATGATAATAGATTTGGTTGGCATGCGTATTTATGGTATGAGAATATCAAAGTGCATAAAGCCTTTTTGAATCACTTGGTAAGAAAAGCAATTTATGGTGTATGGGAAAAATATAAAAACCTGTTAGAGCAGAAGACACCATGGTGGCTTTCCCCAGTGGAAGTGATATCCTTGAAAAAGACTAATGCAAAAAGTGAATGGGCAGCCTATAATGGACAACGGGGTAACAAGAAGGGCCTCTCCTGGCAATCTTAACACATGTGTGGGTTAATTCAGGGGAAATGCTCCTCAATATTTTAGCCCCAAGTGCTGCGCAGGACTTTATAGGTCATCTTCTGCACCTTGAATTTCACCTAGCTGTATACTGGCAGCCACTCTTCCAGGATCTTATAAGCCTAGGTTCCTTGAAAAGATGACCTCCATCTTCTGTACTAGCTGAAGTTTCCCACACAGGGAGTCACAGTAATTTACTTGATCAGACATTCAAATATGAATTTTCTTATGGAATTTTTGTTTCCTGAGAAATACAGAACCATAAACCAGCCCAGCCCTACCACTGGGTAGAGTGAGCTACCTGCCTCAGGCATCAGATTTGGAGAGGGGGCACCAGGGAGCATCAGCAAAGTGTTGGAGAACAAAGCTATGTGTGCCCCACAGCCTGCCCTGCACCTCCTAAGCAAACTTGCTTCCCTCAGAAATGCTGCCTTGTTGACAGCGCTGAAGTAAAGCTCAACTGCCAGACCAATTGGCTGAAATTGCTTCATGCCACAAAATCTCTTGGGCCAGCAGTCTTGCTTATTAACTTAGCTCTGCTTAGGGACTAGATTTTTTTTTTTTAACCAGCTCATGAAACAGATTCACAGTGAATGCTAAAGAAGAATGTGCTTAACCTGGCATTTTCTGTTTCCCAACAAGGGTTAGCGAGAATAAGGTCTCAGATGCAAAGAATATGTAATAACCACTTATGTTGAGCTGTTGACAGAGAAGGGGTGCTTTATGCCAGTTTTCAAGTTTGATGAAAATGGGTGGCATTATTTTTCTGTTGGGAGCAGGAGGGGAAGTTAAATTATTATATTGCCTTGAGGTACTGAGAATCATAAGTGATATGAAAGTGGCAAAACATCAAGAACACACATTCAGCAGGATCCCAGAAGGTGAGTCAGGAACCAGGAGTTGTGGGTCAAGCAAGTACTCAGGCCCAGTGGCCTGAGAACAAAACAAGATATAGGTCATCAGGACTGGAGGATACAGGAACATCCCAGAGCTCAGGAAAACCTTGTTGCAAGGCTCAGTAGGAACAGAAAGCCCTTCTATTACTCCTTCCTATCCAGAAGATTCCATGACTAGCCAGAGTGAGCAGAGTCAGTCTAAGGCCTGAGGGTACTTCACTGATGTTGCTTCAGGAGATGACATGATGCCCTCCCTTGCCTGAGCTCCCTTCCTTCTGCATTTCCTCAAGACATGTACAGTTTTCTTAAGTAGCCATATGGAAGGTTAGGGATGGGCTGCCTCAAAATTTCTCTCAGGCCGTTGATGGCTCCTTCAGAAGTTGATAATATGTGCTCCCTGGTCCATCAATGAATCTGGAAACTAATTGTGCAAGTCTAGTTTCTGAATCAGTGGCATAGCGTGGTAAGCAGAGGGGCACAACCAGGTGCAATGCTCGCACACCCCACCCCTGAGTTGGCAGAGTAGCCAGGCCAAGAAGGTGTGTGACCACCGCCATCAGGAGCAGCAGTGGCAGCAGTCATGTTCCTCATGGGCGCCACATGTGACTCCTGGCACATGGCTCCACCTCAGCTTCCCAGTCCACCAGGGTGGTGCAATACTTGCCCTGCTCCGGGCACTGGCAACCCACGCTATGCATCTGTTCTGAATATTGCTTCATCTACTATTTCATATATAATGAGAGTGTAATATGTGAATCTGAGCAAGTTAGCTACTATACAAAATAAAGTATGCCCTATCCCTGTAATGTGTACAAGTGGTGACAAAGAGCTAATACTCCAAACACTGAAGATGAAGAGCCAAAATTAGTTTTGATGAGCTATAAGGTGAGCTAGTCTTTAGTGTGACTACCTAAGCAGTGATCCAGGCTGAAACTAGAAACATATTCACTATGCACCCAAGTTTCAGCAAGCATCTTAATGTCGTCAAAAAAGACTTCAAAGTCAAAGCCTAAGGCATCTGCTCCCAGAGGCCTAAAGCTGCATCTTCTCCATTTAGAAGTCTGCTGTTCAGTGATTAATCCTGCTGTTGGAAATGTTAGTGATGACGTAATTTTCCTATAAGAAATGAAAACTTCATTTCTATTCTTTTCTTTTATCATTTGATTTGTCCCCATAGAGTTCTAAAGTGAGAGTTTTGGCACATTTTAGTCTAAACATATTTTTTTTCATGTGTGAGACCTATAATAAATACCCCGGTTTTATGTGTAGTTGTGCTTCAAAGTCACATATGTTTTCCTTGGTGTATGGGATGACCGTGTCACTCCAATTACCTAATGTAGCTTTAGTAACTAAAAAAAGGAAAAGAAACATGATACACTGATATACGTGCTATGGTTTATTTACTTAAAAGAAAACTGCTGATAAAACAGGCACCATGGATACTAAATCCCCATGAAAACTAAATTTCTATGACACTATTTTTAGCTCCATCCATTTATCATTTATTTTACAGAGGTACAGACAAGGGCTGCATTCATACCATACATTTAAAGTACCATGATACCACTTTAGGCAGCCATGGCTTCCCCCAAAGGATTCTGGGAGCTGTAGTCTGTTAAGGGTGCTGAGAGTTGTTAGGAGACCCCATTCCACTTCCAGAGCTATTACTTCCAGAGTGGTCTAATAAGTGGTCTTCTTCTCAGGGAATGCTGGGAATTGTAACTCTCTGAGGTGAGTAACAACTCTCAGCACCCTCAACAAACTACAGCTCCCAGAATTCTTTGGGGAAAGCCATAATTGTTTATAGTGGTATCATAGTGCTTTAAATATATGGTGTGAATGTGGCCAAGGAGATACAGGCACATAAGTAATTCATTCCATGCCACTTTCCTCAGATTTATTTGTCCCTTGGGATTCTCCCCAGGCCACATTTTTCATCAGCCCTTCCTCATACCCTGTTCGAGTGTTTTTGCCCAGCTGAAATGTGCCCTTGAAGTCTGGTAATACTTCTGGCTTGCCTGGATGGGGAACTGAGGCAGGTGTCTAGAAATGCAATTGTTTTTATTTGTAACTGTTTTTAGAACTGTTTAACTATTCTAGAGCGTTTTTCTTTGTTTTGGTTTTTGTTAATTGTGCATCTGTTTGCTGCCCTGGACTCCTCCGGTGGGGAAAGGCAAGATATAAATTCAGTGAATAATAAATCCAATGCAGAGGACACAACAAAACACACATGACCAAGAATATGACAACTAGAACTTGCTTTTCAACGGTTGGCTCAGCACCCTTAAGGAAAGACAGTCGGAGCTATTGATATTCCAGCCACAAAACACCACCACCCTACCCTCCCTCAGCCCATCGCAAGCACTCCATGATTGCTGTTCCCTTTTCCCTGCCTCTCAGTGGCTGGCTTTGCTGTGATAGTTGACTGGGAAGCGCAGTTTCAAAATGGCGGCTGTTTCAAGCTGCAACAAGAGCCTAGAGTGGGAGCAGGTGAGTGACTTCAAGCACTTGTCTGTCCCCGTGCAGAGAAGCTTTGTGTTCATATGGTGTGTGGAAAGGGACGCCACCAATAGACCACTTAAAAAGATAACCCTAGTTACAAATGCACCCTTTTTCTAATTCCGCATGTATCTCCTTTCCTTCATCCACTACAGACCGCGATGCCCATGGGCAAGGCTTTGTGTTTTCACCATAAATGCCAGGCTACTCCTCATCTCCACCAGTCTGTCCAGCTGGCAGGTGTGGTCACAAGGTAGGAGAGCACATCCGCCTGCTGGCCTGATGCAAACATGCCAGAGGAAAGTGAAAGGAAAAGAGGCGGAAGCGAGTTTCACGTGTGACAGTTTGAATGAGGCCAGTGTGGAAGGCTGCCGCCGCTGCCTGTCACCATGTCTTTAAGGAAGGTTGAGTTAGAATGTCAGTTAGAGGCAGCCAAGCTGGATTCTGCTTCTCCTCCTTTGTGAATGAAGCATCCAAGGGAAGGTTGGTTGGCTGGCAAAGAGGGAGATGATGCACCCTGCGTCCAGCCTGAGAGAGAGGTCTTTGAGAAAGCCTGGGGAGCCACAGTGCATCAATGCAGAGGCTGCTGAGGTAGGCAGATGGATGGTCCAACTGAGGGTAAAGCAGCTTCTTCCTGCATCTTGAGCCAGTGTGGTGTAGTGGTTAAGAGCTGTAGACTCGTAATCTGGTGAACCGGGTTCGCGTCCCCGCTCCTCCACATGCAGCTGCTGGGTGACCTTGGGCTAGTCACACTTCTCTGAAGTCTCTCAGCCCCACTCACCTCACAGAGTGTTTGTTGTGGGGGAGGAAGGGAAAGGAGAATGTTAGCCTCTTTGAGACTCCTTCGGGTAGTAGAACTCCTATTAGAATAAACAAGTTCCGTTATAAATACTGAAATACCAAAGAATATGGATAACAATGTGTAACAGAAAAAGAAGTAGAAAGTTGATTTAATAGTGTGTGAAAGAAAGTAATAGAAATAGAAAGAAATTGCAATTGAGTAGATTGGAAGTCTAACACAGGGTGGGGTGAGGGACAGTAGTGGGAAAAGGAAGTATGTGCAGGATTGTGTGTGGGTATGTATAAATATTTTTAAGGATTGTATGAAATGTATGTTTGTTTGTATATCGTAATATGTATGTATAAATGTATTAATTGAATTATTTCAATAAAACTTTTAAAATTAAAAAAAGAGAAGAAGAAGAAGAAGAAGAGTTTGGATTTGATATCCCGCCTTTCACTCCCCTTCAGGAGTCTCAAAGCGGCTAACATTCTCCTTTCCCTTCCTCCCCCACAACAAACACTCTGTGAGGTGAGTGGGGCTGAGAGACTTCAAAGAAGTGTGACTGGCCCAAGGTCACCCAGCAGCTGCATGTGGAGGAGCGGAGACACGAACCCGGTTCCCCAGATTAGGAGACTACCGCTCTTAACCACTACACCACACTGGCTCTCCTTATGGTAGTGGCAAATCCATCCTCCTCCTCCTCCTTCTCCTCCTCCTCTTCTTCTTCTTCTTCTTCTTCTTGAATTTCATGACATGGCAGGGGTGAGGAAGAGACCAGCAGTGCCTCCTGTGTTGTAGAGGCAGCATGGGGTGGGGGCTTCTGAAAAGGCTGCAATTGACGCCTCTGAGGAGCATGCCACAGCCATTGCTGCCCATGTGGCAGCAGCAGGCAATGCCTTCCTTAGAGGCCAGATCTGCTGTCCCTGTGGATCCTGCCACCCAAGGCAGCCACCGCACCTTGCCTCATGGGTGGGCCAGCACTGCAGATTACATCTGTGTCTTAAACGTCTGTGTTGCTTGGTTTTGTTTTGTTTTGATCTGTCGATGCAAGATTGCCTGCCAGCTGCAGTTCAGCACATCAAGGAATCCTAAAGCTGGTTTAAACAGTATCATGCTTGCATCAGTCTGGTCTGATAAGAAACTTTGGCAGAAAACGTCCAGCCAATTAAGAATGATATCATATGAACTGGCCCTAAACTCATGTTCAGCCATGAGTTTATTAACTCCAGTAGAACAAGGCTCCCCACCCCCATACTCTTATAGCTATGCTTTGAATATATGATTTGTAGGAGTGAATCTTTTTTTTCCTTCCAAATTCCCATGACTCTAGACTGACTAGTCACGAAAAACAAAGAATTAATAGCTGAGAGCTATACAGCAATCCTCATATCTATGTTTCTTCCTCTATCTTCCAGGAGCCAGTGTTGCCCCAAGGCATTCAGTGCTGTCTTCCCCACAAATATGTGGTAAGGCACGTACTGAAGCGAAATGAAGTAAGGAGGATAAAAACTGGAATGTAATAGCTGTAGGTATTTTTTCTTTCTTCTATTCAAGAATAGGCGAGAAAGAGATCCTGTGAATTCAATTTCTCTTTTTATATATAAGAATATATTTTGTTTAATTATGTGCATTGTTTCTGACACACCATTTGTTTCCAGGCTTTAGGAAAACAGTTGAAAATATGTGGCTATAAGAAAAATAATGAAGTTACCGATTTGTATCTTGGTGAAAAGTAAGTACCGTATATTCTTCTTCTTTTTTTGCTGATTTAAGGCACTGTTCTGTTAGGCTCAGCTGAAAAGAATCAATTTTTAGACTGATTAATCTTTAAGCAATAGAAAACAGAACTTCTTTTTGGATCTGTGAAAATAAAATAGTTTGTTTCCAGGACCAGTAAGTTGCCATTTCATTCTTAAATCTTTATTTTGTGAGGCCAGTGCTCATCTTAAGAAAGGTAAAGGTAAAGGACCCCTGACCATCTTAAAAAAGGTAAAGGTGAAGTCCAGTCACGAACGACTCTGGGGTTGCGGCACCCATCTCGTTTTACTGGCCAAGGGAGCCGACAGTTTTTCCAGGTCATGTGGCCAGCATGACTAAGCCGCTTCTGGCGAAGCCAGAGCAGCACACGGAAACGCCGTTTACCTTCCTGCCGGAGTGGTACCTATTTATCTACTTGCATGTTGACGTGCTTTCGAACTGCTAGGTGCGCAGGAGCTGGGACCAAGCAACTGGACCTCACCACCGACCTTCCGATTGGCAAGCCCAAGAGGTTCAGTGGTTTAGACCACAACGCCACCCGCGTCCCGTAGGGCTCATCTTAGAAAAGGCTAAATATCAGAATTCCCTTAGTGATGTACAAATTGTGCTAGCAGAATGGTTTGCACAAGAGAAGGCGCAGGACCCAGCATAATGCACAATCATTATTATCTTCCTTACCATAACACAGTAGGGGTTGCTCTAGCAGTCAGAGAATGTTGAATGTAGGCCAGAGTTTGCACATCCAAACCAGCAAACTGACTTGTAGTTTGCCTCCAAATCATAATTGCTCACCATGATTTGCTTCTGCTTTGCAGTTTAGGTATATGCTAAGCAGGAAGCAGTTCATTGTATCTGCCCATACAAGGGGAAGAAAGGACCAAATAACCAGAGCATGGTTGTTTCCACACCTCCCAAACCATAGTTTGCAACATTACTTCTAAAGTGGCTGACTTGTGTTGTGTTGATTGGAGCAGGGCTGCTAGAAAAAGCTAATAAATATTTAAGTCTGTGCATTAAAATCCTCCAGTACTGTTAATGAAGCACAGGAAATTCTGCTTCTGAGAAAGCTGTCATCTTGAGGAAATTGATTAGTTTAGTTGTAAATTGGAAAAGAATGCTGGAGGCCCAAAGGGCATGCAAAGACTAGAAAGACCTGCATAAAGAGGCAGGTTAAAAAAATTATTGGAATTAAACTCTCCTTGGAAGAAATGTAATGCCTTTGGGTGCAATCCTCAGATGAGTTTCTCCAGATATGTTCTATTTATTTCAGTAGAATGTCTCTAGAGTAAGTGGTTTGAGGGCTGCAGTCTGTTCATCAAAAGGGTAGGCCTGGAGATATGGGGCAGGGTGGGGGAATGAAGCCAATTAAAAATAAGTTTAAAGTTTTGGAGAGAGAAATAGGAGATAACTTGCATGTGGATAGAAGTCAATAAGGAAAAGTGATTGTTGTGTGTGCATTGTGCAGAGCTCCAGCATTTTATAAATAAAAACATCATGGGATTGAGAATTTTGCCCAGGTATGTCAAGTTTTGCCAAGAGTCCTTTAAGCCATGGCTAAATTGCCAAGAATCTGTGCCATAACAGAATGCAGTGTGCAGAGTATCTGTTCCGGGTTTTCTTTTTCTCTAGAGAGATCAAACCAATCACACTAGGCTTCCTTTGCCATTGTTAGACAGGCTCTTCAAGCCTGGCAGCAGACCAAATAGAAAACAAGTGTTCATTCACCACATCTAGCTCCCGTTAGGTGGGAAGCAATACATCTCCAGCTATTTCCTCACCCCAAATGGTTCATAGCTTTCCTTCCCCCTGTCTTGAATATACATTGATCATGACAAATGGAAAGAATATTGAGAAATGGCTGCAATATATGGATATTTTTTTCTTTTTAGATAACCACTTAGGGCCAAATGTGTCAATGGAAGATCTGAGGTACATGGAAGATCTCACCTTCTTTTGTTTTCACGAACAGCAGTCATGGGTGGAGGAAGCTGGGCTTTTATGAGTACAGGAAGCTCCCCGCTTCAAAAGAGGCCCCTCTAACTTACTGTGATGGTAATTGTGATGCCAACATATAAGAGAAGGACCCTTGCTGCTCGTCTCACACCTGAAGAGTGCTAACGTTAATATATGAATGGACATTTCCCCCATGCACTCAGTTGCTTTGCAGTGTGATCACTCAGACCATTAAGTCTCTAATTAACTACGGTTTTTGTTTCATCCAAAACAAGCAAAACAACCCAGATTATCAGCTTCAGAAGAAGCCAGAATATTAAACCATGATATTATATCCTGGCTTGTTCCAAAGCTGCTAACCAAGCTGATACATGATCATCTGAAGTCAACCCCTGATACTTGCGTTCCTCACCAAATATGAGGTAAAATTGTGGAGACTGAGAAGTGTTGGTACTTAACAAAAGTCATTTATTTACTACTTTAGATGCTCAGCAACCACTGGGTGTGAATGAATTTCCATATACAGTGGTACCTCAAGTTACAAATGCCTCAGGTTTCAGGCGCTTCAGGTTACAAACTCTGCTAACCTGGAAGAGTTACCTCGAGTTGAGAACTTTGCCCCAGAATGAGAACGGAAATCATGTGCTGGCGGTGCAGCAGCAGCAAGAGGCCCCATTAGCAAAAGCACGCCTCTAATTAAGAACAGTTTCAGGTTAAGAACAGACCTCCAGAATGAATTAAGTTCGTAACTAGAGGTACCACTGTATTACTTCATAAGCAGTACTGTATATGCTTTTCTGACAAAAGAGGATTGCTTATTGCCAACAGTATGTGAGCACATTGAATCAAAAAGCAGCTGTTACTGATGCAATTACATAACTGCTTCAGTGCTTATTTCTGATGTATAATAGTATATTAAAGTGGGTATTAACAACTGAAATTATATAACTTTTGTTTCAGAGGATTAAAAGAAATCCCTGATTTATCACAGTTCCGGATATTAAGCCATTTGTGGCTAAATAATAATAAGGTAATAAATATAAAGTTTACATTATTTTTTACACTTTTGACTTTATTTTTGGCAATAAAAAGTAATGGGGGATTTTGTAGCATTAAAAAAAAAAGCTTAGAATTTGTTGAATTTATCGACTGGGTCCAAAGCTAGAATGCAACCCCATTCATTTCAAGAAAAGAGATTTAAACATATACCTAACTGCCACAATGGAATCAAATTTTGGCTGTGTGTTTAGTACTAGTACAGTGGTACCTTGGCCCTCAAACTTAATCTGTTCCAGAAGTCCATTCCAAAACCAAAGCGTTCCAAAACCAAGGCATGCTTTCCCATAGAAAGTAATGCAAAGTGGATGAATCCGTTCCAGACTTGTAAAAACAACCCCTAAAACAGCAATTTAACGTGAATTTTACTGTCTAACGAGACCATTGATCCATAAAATGAAAGCAATAAACAATGTACTGCAGTCACACAATCAATCAGTCAGTAGCTGAACTGGGTTCCACACAGTCATAAAAACAAAACAAAAAGAGCCGCAAAAACAAAAATGCAAAAGAAATAGCAAAAGCAGACAGACCTCAGCATAACACTCAAAACGGAGCACGTTCGGCTTCCGAAAAAAGTTAGCAAACTGGAACACTTACTTCCGGGTTTGCAGTGTTTGAATTCCAAGTTGTTTGAGTACCAAGGCATTTGAGAACCAAGGTACCACTGTACAAGTATCACCATATGGTTGGGAGAAAGGGCTCTAAGGGATGGAAAAACTCCCATGTGAAATTGCTGGTCAGTGCAAACAATCCTGAACTCTGGGGACAAATGATCTGACATTTGTCAGATACTTTCAGCAGCTTCCTCTGCTTCTGTATTGCTGAGGCAGGGACAATTTGCCCTTGGATACTTTCCCAGAGCCATTTGCTCCCAACCCCTGGTGAGCCACAAACACCATCCTTTACAGTTCAGAGCTATTTGGTGCCCCTGTCTGAGACTGAACATTGAGTGCATTTAGGCAGCCGCTATAGTGGGGCAGGTGCACTCCTTGGACTTTCAGGGCAGAATATATACAAGTTTAAAAGCAGAAACATGAATACATGTTATAACAATGAATCAAGAAGAATAAATAGGCAGACGGAAGGCTTTTTACTTGTGTTCCTTTCGTGGTGAGAGAGGTTGGGGTTGGCCTAGGGTGTGATTGTCTGCTTGTGATTGGCTGTGGTGATCTTTGTTTTCGTGTGTGAGTGAGGTGGGTGGGTGTTTTGGATCAGGTTAGCCATATTGATTTGTATGCTGTTGGTGGATTATTGTCATTGTCCTGTTGGGCTGTGTATGTGATAAAGGGAGCCATACCAGGGTGAAGACGTCTTCTTCTGTTTGTGCCCGTGTCAGTTTCAGTTTATTAGTTAATTTTTCTAGTAGGGCTGTTTCCCATACTATTTGGTACCATTGGTCCATGTTTACTCCTGACAGGTCTCTCCAGTGTCTGGTTATGGTGTTTCTGGCTGCTGAAAGTAGGTGGGTTATGAGTTCTTTGTGGTGTAAATGGGCATTGTTGTCTTGGAAGATGTTTAGTAGGGCCAATTCTGGGGTGATGTCTATTACTTGCTTAGTTATTTTACATATTTCTTGTATGGCTGTTGTCCAGAATAGTTGGATTTTGGGACACTCCCACCACATGTGGAGGTATGTGCCTGTGGAGGTGCACCCTCTCCAGCATTTTGGTGAGGTTCCTGGGTGTATTAGCGCTAGTTTCCTTGGTGTTAGGTACCACCTGTAGGTGAGTTTCAGTGTGAGTTCTTTTCTTTTCGTTGATATGGATTTAAAGGGGGTTTAGACCACATTCTGGTCCATTGAGTGGGGTTAATCTCATAGCCTATGTCATTCTCCCATTGTTTTTGATTGCATCTAGGGGAGTTGCGGGATTTTGGAGTAGTATTTTGTATATTGCGGATACCGTCCCTTTACCGTTTCCTTTTGTTGTTAGGAGGAGGTTTTCGAAGGTTGTCAGGGGCCTAGTTGCTGCTGATTTTACTGTTGGGTTGTTTAAGAGGGCATGTAGTTGGTGTTGTGTTAACCAGGGCATTTGGGTGTCTTCTAGTTTGTCTTGTATTTCTTGTGTTGACAAGGGTTTGTTATTTTTATAAAAGTCTATTAGGCGATATAAGCCTTTGGTTTGCCAGGTTTTTATCTGGAGGTTTTGTGCTGCATGGTGGAATAATGGGTGGTACGCCAGGGGGATTAGTGGGGATGGGGTTGGGGATGGTTTGCCTATTTGTGTTTTCCATGCTTTGAGCATGGTCTGTGTGTACCTGTTAAGTGTTGTGGGAATTTTCTTTAGTTTGTTTGGGAGGAATGGGTATGTTGTGGTGCAGGTATTTTCAATTGTGTCCCTCTCTAGGTGTACCCATTGTTTTGTCTCATCTTCTAGTATATATGGGATTATATGGCGTATTTGGTTGGCATTGTAATATGCTTCTATGTTGGGGATTCCCATCCTCCTTCTGAGGTGGGGAGGTGCAGGTATTTGGAAAGTCACACAATAGCCACAGGTTCTGTCACTGGCTGCTCACATATGACTGTAAATACATACATACATACATACATTTCTAAGGCTATGAAAAGATACTGTAAAATTCCATATAATTTGGGAGAACATACAGGTTTATCGCCTTGGGCTAAGAGTAATCACATGCCATATAATGTCAACCATGTTGAAAGGCTGCCGTTATTACAATGTTTTGCATCTTTCAGTATGCTAGCAAGCAGACAGCTTCTTTGTACAGCTCAGGCCTGTACAATGTAGGGCCACCTCTATGCTTGCTTGCTTGCTTGCTTGCTTGGGTTAATTCCAAATACCTGTTGCTTGTTTCCCATACCTGTGGAAAGTTGAAAGGCTGAGAGAGTGGAAGTCTTGTGAGCTGTTGCTGGTGGAGCAATAGACATAACGTACCAGGGCGTGCGGAAGGGGAGGGGAAAGGTAACCTAAACATGAAATATAGGATGCAGAAAGACTTGTGAGGTGGAGAAAGAGCGTAAGAGAGGGATATTATATATTTATTTTAAGCAAAAGAGTGAGACTGTTGGATGGGAGAAAGGTAAGAACACCACATTTATTGAATACAGAAAGTCTATGAGCGCTCTCACTCACACACGCAAACCTTTTATTACATCTATCCACTTCCACGATGCAGTTCAAGGTGGTTTACAGGCCCCTGAGCATGGCTAAGTTCAGCAAGCTTGCTGCATCTTGTCCCTTCAGCCCATGTGCTGGGACCAGCTTATCACTTCCACCGTTTGTGAGAACTGAGCCATTGTTAAAGGTGCCTCAGACTTCTTTGGGAGGAATGGCACGATAGAAATTTAGTAAATAAAATGTGCATTCCACCTGATCCTTGTTTAACGCTCTAACACTGTGTATTTTCTGAGAGTCTGTATTCTACTATCACTGTGTTTACATAATTGTTTTGATTTCTACATTATATAAATTATACATTCTATAAATATTAGGTTACGTATTGACATTTGTATTCTGTGATGTAAACTACCCTGAAGTCTTTTGATGAAGGTCAGAATATAAATTTAATTAATACTAATATTAATACTTCTAATATGTAGCAGATGAAGTATTAGCAGAGTATATATCCTTTGCTGAAGCTCTCCTTTTCCAGCTATATGTGGTTTGTGCCACTTCAGGACAAAGGATGAAGAGGGTAAAATGGCTGAGGTTTCAGCAGACTGGGTGGCATTCAGTGAAGTTTTACTAAGAGCAGACTTACTGAAATTAATGGACCTAACTTAGATACGTTCACTAATTTCAACAGTATGGAAATCATATGACATGCAAAAACATGTTATAGGTAGATGCTTAATATGGAAGAAAATGCTGTATACTGTGCACTTTGGGGCCTGTTATGTTTTTAATCTGTTATATGGGAAATTTCACAGGCCTATTTAAACCAACAAAGATAGCATATAATATATGCTATATGGTATAGTTCTTCACCAATAAAATCACATGAACCTATTGTTCTAATTCTCATAATTCAGATTCAGAATCTAACTATGTTGAAGCATAACTGCTGCTTGACAGAACTGTACCTCAACAATAACGAAATCCGAGATATATCAGGTATGGCGTTAACATAATCTCTTTTGAACCGGGAGTGATTCCTGTGAGCATATATGTGTTAAATTTGGTTGAAATAGACTGCAAGAAGTCCTGGAAATAAGACGAGTGGTGCTTCATGAAAATAGAAAAAAGAGAGAATAAGTCTCTAGTCCTAGAAAGAGGGCTTGGGGTCCCTTCCAACTCTATGATTTTATGAGTGTATGAAAGTTATGAAGCAAAATGTGCAAGTATCCTTCTAAGCAATTTCTGTGAAATGACCCAGCCTGGCTGCTCTTGACTGTCAGTGTTTTTAGCCAATTAAGCAATCAATGAAATCAAAGCTGTGATTGATAAGCGAGTTATTTCCCCTTAAGTGCACTTTCCCTGCTTCTCTCTTATTTTCTAGTTTTTGGAATTCAGAAAACCTAAATAATTCCCAGCCAGTTGCCAGTCTCCCCTTCTTGGATAAGGTTCTTGGGTGAGTGGCTGTGGAACAGATCCAGGTGCTCTTGGAGGAAACTGATTTTCCAGATCAATTTCAGTCAGGGTTTAGCCCTGGTTTTGGCACAGAAACCGCTTTGGTCAGCCTGTATGATGACCTTTGTCAGGAGAGAGAGGAAATGTGTCCCTGTTTAATTCTCCTTGACCTCTCAGCAGCTTTTGATACCATTGACCATGGTGTCCTTCTGGAGCAGTTGTTTGAGTTGGAGGTGGGTGGCAACACTTTGCAAAGGGTACTTCCAGAGGGTGATGCTTGGGGAATGTTATTTGGCCCCGTGGAGCCTTCAGTGTGGGTTTTCTCAGGGCTTGATTTTATCCCTCATGCTGCTTAATCACTGAGTGTGGTCATCCTGAGTTTTGGAGTATGTTGTCGGCAATACGCTGATGACACACAGCTCTACTTCTCCTTTACACCTGCGGGTGAGGCAGTGGATGTGCTAAATGGTTGTCTTGCCTCAGTAAAGAATTAGATGATAGTCAATAAACTGATGCTCAGTTCAGATAAACTGAGGTACTATTAGTTGGTGGCTCCCTAGCTCCGATGGCTGGGAGGTTGATGGGGTTACACTCCCTCTGAAGGAGCGGGTACAGAGCCCGGGCATTTTTCTGGTGTGGAGTGCCTTCCATCAGATTCAATTGGTGGTCAGGCTGCGCCTTTATCTGGACAGCTGGACAGTGATAGCCGAATTTCTGTTGTCTATGCTCTAATAACCTCTAGGTTAGATTACTGCAATGTGTTATATGTGGGATTGTCTCTGAAGATGGTCCAGAAACTTCAGCTAGTGCAGAATCCAGTGACCAGGTTTCTTACTGGGACAAGATGGTTTGAAAACATAATGCCAATCCTAGCTTGACTGCACTGGCTGCCAATTAGCTTCCAGGCCCAATTCAAATTGTTGGTTTTGACCTATAAAGTCTTAAACAGCTCAGGACTGCAATGCCTCAAGGATTGTCTCTCCCCATATGAATTTACTCCGTATGTTCACCCTATCTTCATATGCCTCCTCCATGAGAGGTCCAGACGGGCAAAATGAGAACAGGCCTTTTCTGCAGTGGCTCCCTGTTTGTGGAGTGCTCTTCAGAGGGAGGTTTGCCTTAGATATCTTTAGGCTCCATTCAGAAACTTTCCTCTCTAACCAGGCTTTCAGCCTTTTAACTACCTGTGATCTTTTAGAAGTGGGTTGGATGTTTTTTAATGTTTAGTGTATTTTGGTTCGAATGTATCCATATGGGGTTGTTGTTGTTTTTCTGTTCATTTGGTTTTTGGTTGTAAGTCGCTGGGCGAGATAAGGAGACGGAACAAACTGAAGAAACAAAATAAAAGCACAAGTGAGGCATTATTTTATTGTTAATTGTTGTTGCCATTTTAGGTGCTCTGAAACATATTCATGTGTTGCAAGTCCTGATGCTTCACAACAATCACCTGAAAACCCTGGAGAAAACTGTGAAAGAGCTTCAAGGAATGCAACATCTGCAGACCTTAAGTAATCATTTACCTTTCTCTCTCTCTCTTTCTTTTTCCTCCCCAGGCAGCACAACATTGACAGGACCCACTCATATATTTAGTAGAAAACAGATAGTTTTGAGGAGAAGGATTGAATAAGATATATTAGCCTTTTTTGGAAATGCTTTTTGCTGAGCAAATAAGATTCTCTAATTGAACATACCAGTATCAGTTTTAACTAGTGTCTGCATTTGTTTTATTTTACGTTACTGACAGAGCAAGGGGTAGATGAAAATGCTTGAGACTCTGAAATTTCATATTAAGATAAACAAGACGGTGCTGGCGCCACTAAGCGTTGCTGCATTCAAATCGCCTTCAGGGAAGTAGGATTATAAACTGTTAACCTGTTGAAAGTGAAAGTGTAAGCAATCTTTCTCAGGTTTTTTTCCCTCCCTAAAGGAATGTGCTCATAGATCATACCAGGGCTTTCAGAACTTTTAAGAAGCAGGAACTAATTTAATGCCTCGGTAAAGTAATTAATAGAGGTATTTAATATTGTTACAGGCCACCCTAATCTCTGCCGAGTGGCAGCAAGGGATTCCAGGGGTCTTGGCACTTAACCAAGCTTTGTGTTTCCTTGGGGGAAATGATGCTGTAATATCTTAGAAATACAGTTTATTGACACATGTTTACGCCTGAGTTTTATGGCGGGAGAGCTCACAGCAATTATATCCCGAGATGGGGATGCTGCCCTTCAGTCCCACATGGCGTTCTGTCCATGTCCTTCTCCTTCTTCCCAGAAACCCCTGCTCCAAAAACCTGTTGCAAAAGGACACCCTCTCTTCCTGTGATGACATCGCGCCCCACAGTTACCCTGGCAACCTCCCCCTCTCATCTCTGCTTTTGTCTTCTGCTAACTAACACACATCTGGGGGGAAAGGAAAGCATCTGCACGGTCAATTGTTCTTTAATGGCCCAGTCACATTTCTCCTTGTGTTCTTAATGGCAACAATATCAACTTTTGGGGGGAGGGGGGCCTCAAATATTTTATTGGGGGTGTGTGGCAAAGGAACCTTGGCCCTTCAGTGTTGGCTCCTATGCCAAAGACCTTTCTATTCCAGCTTTCCATTCTCACAGTGGCCAACTTGATGCCTTTGAGAGGCTCACTAGCAGGAGATGAGCACAACAGCGCCCCCTTCTCATTGTCCTTGGCAAATGGCATTCAGAGGCCTGTGATGCTTTTTAAAGCAGGGGTCAGCAAACTTTTTCAGCAGGGGGCCGGTCCACTGTCCCTCAGACCTTGTGGGGGGCCGGACTATATTTTGGAAGAAAAGAAATGAACGAATTCCTTTGCCCCACAAATAACCCAGAGATGCATTTTTAACAAAAGCACACATTCTGCTCATGTAGAAACACCAGGCAGGCCCCACAAATAACCCAGAGATGCATTTTAAATAAAAGGACACATTCTACTCATGTAAAAACACGCCGATTCCCAGACCATCCATGGGCCGGATTTGGAAGGCGATTGGGCTGGATCTGGCCCCTGGGCCTTAGTTTGCCTACCCATGTTTTAAAGGCATCCAAGATGGCAGCCAGCGCGCCGGTAAAAAATCCATGGTTCAACAATATGCTGAGTGAAGTATTTCCTCTTGTCTGGTATTATGAGAGGGGGGAAGGTTGTATAATTTCTCCAAATTATGCACACCTCTACCATGTCCCTTTCTTACTTGCTTTTTTACTGAATGAAAAAGCCTCCAATGTTGTAAACTTTCCTCAAAGAGGACTTGCCCCATTGATCATTTTGACTGTCCCCCTTCTCCAGCTCTATAACCTCCTTTTTCGAGGTGCGGCAACCAACACTTTAGACAGCATTTCGACTGCAGTTACTCCATAGATTTATATAAAGGCCTTCTGATATTCTTGTATACGGAAGTTTTAGGCTCTGTACACTATTCAAAGTGATGAGATTATTTCTACAGAGATGATTAAATCTCTACTTCATAGCCATAAAAGTAGTGTTCTTTCTACTACTGCCATCTAGTGGTTCTTTGCATGCAATCGATTACCATGATTTATTTTTGAGCGAGGAAAGAAGTCACAAAAATAGATGAACGAGATTTTTCAGGATATGGCCAGAAAAAAAGATAGACTATGTTTTTTATCCAGATATTGTCATTATTAAAAGAAATCACTGATATATTGAAAGTGTCTTCCCGAAGCACAAGTCACTAATGTGCCTCACTACTGAGTTGCTTCTCTGGCAGTGTTTTAAAGCTTTCCCCCCACTGCCATGAGACTAATGGAGTAGCATAATGAGGTGGTTCACAATTAATATTAAAACATGGTTTAGCACTATGTGTGTGAGTAGAAACAAGCTTCAGCAAAATCTTGTGCTTTCACCCTTCCTCCTTCCCTCTCGTCCTCCCCATGTGGCCAGGAGAAGGACTTTGCTATCATTTACTTTGTGGGTGATTTGTCTGCGTAATTAAATAATCTTCAACCTGTTTTGAACGGGGCTGCACTTCTTCTAAGGAAGAAAGTTTGCAGTTTGAGGATGCTCCGTGATCCAACACAGGTTAGCCTCATAGGGAGAGAGAGTGTTATTTCTGTTTCATTGGATATACCAATTACGACCCTATCTGGGTAGAGATAAGCTTGCAGCAGTTATCTAAGCTTCGATAATCTCCTGCTTAGATAACTGTACTGTGTTATATGTGATGCTGCCTTTGAAAATAGCCTGGAAAGTCCAGCTGGCCCAAAATAGATCTGTGAGATTATGAATGAGTACAGGTATATATATAAATATACACCTGTATATATTTTTTAAAAGGTGATAGAACGGATTGTCTAAACTATCAAGGCATCTCTTTATTAGCTGCGGACGGCAAAACTCTTGCAAGCATCTTAGCAAACTGTCTCCTAACAATAACAGAGGCTACCCTTTCTGAATCCGAAAATGGTTTTCGACCTTCTAGGGGGACGGTGGACATGATTTTCACTGCTCGACAGCTTCAAGAAAATTGCAGAGAGCAAAACCAAACCCTGTATATGGCCTTTATTGACCTAACTAAGGCCTTCAACAATGTACCGTATTTTTCGTTCTATAGGACGCACCGGTCCATAGGACGCACCTCGTTTTTTGGGGGAAATGAATAAAAAATTATTCCCCCCGCGGCTGCCGCCCCAAGCCTCGCGTGCTTCGGGCTGCAGGCTGACCGCCCAAGCCTCGCGCGCCGGCGGGACCTCCCACCGGGCGCGCGAGGCTTGCAGACACTCGCCCAAGCACGGGAGCCCTCCGGAGGGCTCCCGTGCTTCGGGCGACAGGCTGCAGCCCCAAGCCTTGCGCGCCGGCGGGACCTCCTGCCGGGCGCGCAAGGCTTGCAGACACTCGCCCGAAGCACGGGAGCCCTCCGGAGGGCTCCCGTGCTCGGGCGACAAGCTGCAGCCCCAAGCCCTGCGCGCTGGGCGGGACCTCCTGCCGGGCGCGCAAGGCTTGCAGACACTCGCCCGAAGCACGGGAGCCCTCCGGAGGGCTCCCGTGCTCGGGCGACAAGCTGCAGCCCCAAGCCTTGCGCGCCGGGCGGGACCTCCTGCCGGGCGCGCAAGGCTTGCAGACACTCGCCGAGCACGGGGAGCCCTCCGGAGGGCTCCCGTGCTCGGGCGACAGGCTGCTGCCCCAAGCCTCGCGCGCCGGCGGGACCTCCTGCCGGGCGCGCAAGGCTTGCGGACACTCGCCGGGGCTGCAGGCTGCTGCCTGCAGCCTGGTGAGCCCGCGGGAACTCCCACCGGGCTTGCAAGGCTTGCGGATAGCTTCCTGAAGCCTGGAGAGCGAGAGGGGTCGGTGCGCACCGATGCCTCTCGCTCTCCAGGCTTCAGCGAAAGCCTGCATTCGCTCCATAGGACGCACACACATTTCCCCTTCATTTTTGGAGGGGAAAAAGTGCGTCCTATGGAGCGAAAAATACGGTAAATCATAATGCCCCATGGACTGTCCTTTTGAAAATCGGCTGCCCAGATAAATTTGTGAACATCCTTTGTCTCCTCCATGAAAACATGACAGCAATAATTGCAGATCACAATGGCTCTCAAAGTGCACCATTCAGTGTGGGATCATGTGTTAAACAGGGTTGTGTTATCTACCCAACTCTATTTATTAGTTTCATCGCAATGATCCTACACTTTGTCGAAGGGAAACCCCCCACTGGAGTAGAAATCATATACTGAACAGATGGAAAGCTCTTTAATCTGAGTAGGCTGAAAGCAAAGACCATTGTGTGCTTAGAGAGAGATGGTGGCCATTTCATGTGCTCTACCAGGGAAATGTCACGGCCTGCAGTATTCTGCCAGTATTACACACTTATCAGCATTTCTTTTATACTGTGCAATGCAGCAATAGAGAATCACATAAGATAGTTATGTAATGAGTTTAGGGTATGGAGGAGACTGCAGATGACTTAAAGGTAAAGGGACCCCTGACCATTAGGTCCAGTCGTGGACAACTCTGGGGTTGTGACACTCATCTCGCCGAGGGAGCTGGCGTACAGCTTCTGGGTCATGTGGCCAGCATGACTAAGCTGCTTCTGGCAAACCAGAGCAGTGCATGGAAACACCATTTACCTTTCTGCTGGAGTGGTACCTATTTATCTACTTGCACTTTGATGTGCTTTCGAACTGCTAGGTTGGCAGGAGCAGGGACCAAGCAAAGGGAGCTCACTCCATTGTGGGGATTCGAACCACTGACCTTCTGATCGGTTTAACCCACAGTGCCACCCGCGTCCCACGCAGATGACTTACCTGCATTGAATTCTGAAGCATTTCAGCCACAAGACCAACGATTTTGATAAAATCCCAGACACCTAATTCCTGCTGGTCACTTTTTCTAATGGAATGATAACCAGCAATCTGCATAATAAGATGTGATTTGCCCCTTTGGCCAGGATCAGAGTATCAGAATATTTCTGGTTAATCATAAAGAACAAACAAGAACTTCCAAGACTCATAACAAGTGGCAAAAAGGCATTTGTTACAGATCTTTTTTCATGTACCTCACAATGGGCCACAACGTTCAGGAAGGAGGTGCTTTGTGAATACAAACTGGTTGATTATGTCTGTATAGTATCTACTGAAATATGGAGGAGGTTGCCAAGTCTTTGCTCAGTCATTTTGACCATTGTTCTCTTTGTTTCAACTCCTGCAGACCTGTTTAATAACCCCATGTCTCATGATCGCAGATACCATCTGTACGTAATATACCACATTCCTTCAGTAACATTGTTTGACAGAAAAGGTAGAAACTTTTTCTCCCCCACTTTCTTTTCTTAATAGACGTGAAGGATAATCACTTAATGCTTTTATATCTGAACAAGAAGCAATATATTTGTGGGTGCCCTTACTCAGCAGCCATCAATTTTGTAAGATATACTTGTTAGTATTGGGTGGATACATTGCAAGACATCATTCATCTTTAACAGAATTATCTGGCCCTACTTTTAAGAAACCTTCATGGAAATGAACGTGCATCTATAGCCTGGTTAAGTGAAATTGTAACAGCTTATTTATTTCAGTTTCCAGGGGAGTTGTCTTTGTTCGTGTATTACCACATAAGCAACAACATTTTATTGCTCCTTAAAGACACATAGATTTATCATGATTATTATTTGCTCTCCCATCAGATGTCAAGGAGATGTGTAACTATACAAACTTTAGAAGACATCTGAAGATAGCCCTGTATTGGGAAGATTTTTAATGTTTAATGTTTTATTTTGTTTTTATATATTTGGAAGCCACCAAGAGTGGCAGGGCAACCCAGTCAGATGAGTAGGGTACAATTATTATTATTATTGCATGTATCTGTTGCATGAAAGATTTATTATCCTCTGTTGATGGATGCAGTTGTGTGTGAACATAAACAGTGAGGTCAGAAGGCAGCGAAATGCAAAAAGTACAGACCAAGCATCACAGAAGTACTTAAATGTTTGTAAAGTAGGCATAGCGGCCATTCACAAAGCAGTGCTGAAAACACAAGCAGCCGGCATTGCTAAATTAATTTGCAAAGTTAATTCATTAATTTCATGGAACAAGCCCTATGTAATGCTTACTAAAACTGGCCTATTCAAGGTGGACTATAGAGTCTATTATTTAACGCCTTTCACATACTAGCAGTAGGAAGTCCTCTCAATTCCCATAACCAAATCAATTGTAAGCGACATAGGGCAGTTTCAAAAGCAGTTTGGAATATATCAGGGGAGACTGTAGCTCGGGGGGGGGGGGATGTCAAAAAGCCCCACAGGGAGCAGAGGTAACACATGGGTGCACCTAAAAGAGCTCTCTTGACTGTGACCAGAAGCCTGCCTCTCTAGAAACATTAAGCTACTACTGTCTGTAAATCACACAAGTCGCAACATCCCTTAGTGCTAGGCTGTCACCCACCTAAAGAATAAAGAAATATAATATGTCAGCAGCTGGTTGAGCTCTAGATAATGCCATCTATTCCTATGTTACAGAAGTAACTCCAAAAGAAAGAGTATCAGCTGTTCATATATATGACCATGAACGGTCCCTCGTGCTTCATTCTATAGGATTTGGGAAGAAAATTGATGAACCGTTTTTGCCCAAGCAATCATTTTGCCTAACACCAACCAAAGTGATAAGATTGCCTCCAGGTATTTAACAGTGATTCAGAAAATAATAATAATAATTATAATAATAATAATGCAGATGAACAACCATTGCCTCCTTACATTAAATGACTTTCATAATTATATAATTGCCTTGCTTTTTAGCAGTCTACTTGGGATTCTTTGAGGGCTTGCTGTGATTTACACTCATTGTCATTCTAGGCATCTCAGTAAAAGCTGTTATCTTTTAGAAGAAGAAAATCATTGTTAAATTACTCAGGGTATTTACTGTATAATTCAGCTATTCTTCCCTTTTCCAGATATCTAATATTGGTCTTTAAGATTTTAAAGCTTGAAAATAAGAAGGGCTTGGCATGTGCTGCATACGTATAGCTGCTTTCCTTCTCATTTATAGCTTTTTCACCTGGTGGGTCAGATACTCCCCCCACCCCACCCCTTTGGCAGTCAATGTTTGGCACATTAAGAGCAAATGAGCAAGCAGACTTGAACTCTACATATATCAGCTGGAGGGCAGGTTCAGTCCTGCTTCCTGCAGGGATTAGGTGGGTGAGCAACCTCTCCTGCACATCCCAAACCAAGCAGAACTGAACTCCCCAAGCCCCAGCTTGATGGACATGTGTTGTCAGGTGTCAAGCAGGCAGGCAAAACTTGGCCCACAAGTCATAGATTTCCAGTTTTATGGCAAGTCTTTTCAGTTGTATTCCAGTGACTACTGCCACAGCCATTGAAGATTCCAAAAATCTTTAGAAACCTCTACCTGCTGCTGCCTTTTTCTTAGTTATGTGTAGTTGAAGCAGGTGACAAATGGGACGCAAATGATTTTGTCCACAGGGAGAAATCAATCACAAGTTAACTGTATATAAGGCTAAGCAAGTAACTAGAAAGAACTATCTCACTCAGTGAACCATTTAGGCCAAATTGCTAACTTACAAAACTTGCCATTTGAATCTAATGGAATTTAGAATTGACTGAAGCTGTTCAGTATTCTGCATGTCAAGGGCTATGCAGACTTGAATAACTTTTTCCAATCTTTGTTTTAGGTTGCGAGTTTGGAAATCACCTGGTTAAGTAAGCAGAATCTGCCTTTCCTTTATTTCTAATCCATTAATATTTAGATACGAAGCTCCCAGTCTAACAACAACTTAAAAACAAAAGATTTATTTTGCCCTAATACATCATGCCCACTTCATCAGATGCTTGAAGTGTTGTCCCCTGCTGGCAGATACAGGTTAGCCAGCCACTCCATTCACATTGCCCCCATGTGTGTAGTAACTGCCTACTGTGCATGGAGGTGAACATAATCTGCTAATGAAAAAGGGAATTGTGGTCAGTACTAAAAACACCCCTTTCCCAACAGGCCTTGTAGAATAAGTGCATCTCAAATGCATTTATTTATTTTTTTACATTCTCTGGTCAATATGCAACACTCTCCAAGAAAATGCTGTTTATTTCTGTCTGTAGATCAGAAGCAGACAAATGGTTGCTTGCAGACCGCTTTCTAATTTTATGCAAATTGTGGCATCCCCTCTTGCTGATCAGCAGGGGAAAGGGGGCATTGCTGTAGTCTCATCTCCCTTCCCTCCCCACTTGTCATCAGCTAAGCAGAGGTTGGGGGGCTGTAGATACATGTCTACTCCTCATTCACCAGGGGGCTCCACACAAGATTCCTTCCATTCATAAATGTTTCTGTGTGTGAGAAGAGGCAGATGTGGGTGGTTATCTCCCCCACCCCCGTAAGACCCCCACGTCCATTCATTTTGAGAGTACACGCCCATGAGGAATGGATTCTCACACATACCTCAGCCCCACCTGTAAGCCATTCCTCCACCCACACAGAGGAGCAGTAGGGAAACAGCTGAGTTGTGCGGAAAGTGTGGGGCACAGCAGCAGAGTCTTGTTGCTCAGCTAGGAAGTGGGGGTGGGCTGCAGATAAATATTTGTAGCGAAACCACCCCCATTCTGTTTCCCCTGACTTTGCTTTACTTCTTGACTAAGTGGTACAAAAGAAACCATAAAAAATATTTACTATGCATTGGGTGCCAGATTAGTGTCAAATCCATTCACATTTAAACTTTAGTTTTCTCGTTGCAAAAGAGAGAAAAAATCTGGTCATTTACTTTCTCCCCCCCCCCCCCCGCTTTTTGTTTGGTTCTTTGGAAGGATTCCGTATGAAAACCCAGAACATGCTGTACTTGTGAGGGCCATGAGGCGATCTGTCATGGAGTTCGCCACTGTTGACTGGGAGAAGATGCCCACCTGCGAAGAGAAACGCCTCGGCAGCAATCCAGAAAAACGGCCAGAGAGACTGACAATTAAGTTTCGATAAATGTGACTTTTCTCCGACAGTTGTCTCTTTTAAAAAACCCCAACACATTTCTTTTGCTGCTCTTGGTATTGTTGCTCTTTAAACATCAATTAAAATAATTTCAAGCAGGAAAAAAAATCCAGTTACGTTACCATTTTAGCACTTAATGCATAGTATGAAGGGGTGGTATTTAAAGCTATAAAAATCATCTGTTAGTTAAACAAGCCTATGGTTTGAAGTTGGGTTATTGAGCAGTTGACCATGGTTTGCTGTAAACCATATTCCTGATTTGCGTATAGGTTTAAGTTGAGACGCTGAAAAATGAAAAATAAACTTGGCAGCATGCCCTTTTTTTTAATGCCTACTTGCCAAGTTTGGAGAGGCTTTAATTTCCTAAGGTCACAATCTCTGGGGGTTGTAAAGCTAAGAAACAGAGTAGCTGTTTAGGGAGCTTGATTATGACTTACGGGGCAGTAAGCTGACCACTGTTCTGTTGGTGATTAACATCTGCATATAGGAGAATAAAAGCCTTTCTGCCATTTTTACCAAGTATATAGTTAACAGACCAGAAGAGATGTCTCTTAATGCCTTTTGGGGGAGACTTTATTCATCCTTTCCCTGTAAATTCAGAGGATAATATAGCACAGCTTTATCTCCAAATACTATCATGAGCCCAAAGGCATGCTGCTGTGCATTTGGGCTGACAGACTGAATGCTCCTTCCTCCAAGAAGAAAGTGGCATGTAATGGGTGGGTGGGTGGAGACGAAGATAGGACTTGCTAGTTTTCTAGCTAGAGGGGAGTATGGAAGAGAATTCAGCCATATGCACTTCCATTTGCAGGTTCAAATGTTGCCAGTTAGTTGAGCCCTAGTCTTAAGATCAGAGCCACTGAATAGGCCAACTTTACTGACAGTTATGAATATACAAATTCATAAGATTTCCTTGACATCCATCAGATGTAAAGGACACAATCAAGTATCTGACTTTTAGAAGATCAGATATACAGCAGCTCTGTATAGGGGTGGTTTTAATGTTTGATGTTTTACTGCGGTTTTATATTTTGTTGGAAGCTGCCTAGAGTGGCTGGGGCAACCCAGTTAGATGGGTGGGGTATAAATAATACATTATTATTATTATTATTATTATTATTTCTAATCCCTTACACAACTCATTATGTGTAATTTCATCCTGCTTCTCTGGTAGGAAATGGACACTTGGTTGCAACACCTCAGTATGTGATTCAGTGTTTCCACTACTCTCCCCTAAAGCTTGCAAGTATTTGGAATAACTGGACCCCGGTCAACAACCCTCCCTCCTTACATTTGCACACACTCCCAATCCAACTGGAGCAGACCTTTCATGCTCTACCTATTAGTACTTAAAGATTAGTGATGCTAATTACAAACAAAATCATGATGTATCTTATAAAAGTGTAGCAAAATGCCACTGTGAGCCTATTTCCCTGGGGAACACTAATATTTTTATGCTATGATGTGTTCTTAATAATTGAGCCACTTAAGTGGAAAGAGAAAGTTCAAGGAAGTTAAGCTAACATAGATGAGCAGGATTTTGTTTAATGAAAACAGACTGGTAGCAGTACTGGCTTTCCAAATCTGTAGCCAGAAAAACTTAACTTTTAGATGGTTGCATCCCTTATGATCTAACAGTATCATGACCAAGCGCTTTATTGCACTGAAGTCTAAGATATTTTTAAAATTTTTGCTAGCAAATGGCCTTCTTCTCAGACACCTTTTAAGTCTTCTACGCTTTGTGCAGGTATGAAGGCAGATGGGTATGCTCTTAGTTTTGATCAGATGGTTCAGCTCTTGTCATCACAGTCTAGGATGATGTGATGTAGTTACACAGGACAAATACGTTGACATATGCTGGATCACAGCATATGTCAAGAGTGAGCATTAGAACTGCATTCCATTGACCTGCATATCCCGATGTTGCGGTCTAGAGGAAATCCTCCATAAAGCCTTGGGCTCTCCAGCGTTTGTTACTCCTCAGACTCATGAGCTTTTTCAACCGTGATGTCTGCTAGACTAGTCTCTCCTTCAAGGGCCTTGTCATCCTGAGGGGACAGTGCCTCCTTCTTAGGAACCATCTCCTCAGTTCTCTCTCCCACGCATTTGAGGTCCTCTTCTTTACTGTCTCCTGGTTCAGAGGCCGACTGCTCTTCACTTGTTAAAGCAGATTCTGCTGCACGTGTTGCCTCTAGAGGAGAAACATGGGAAATGCATATATTGCAATGCGCAGCAATAAATAAATAAATAAATACTCCCACAAGCAACACCAGCTCCTTCATCCCAGAAACTAACGGTAGTATTAGAAGCTATTTTGTAATAACTAATCAAACCAGGAATAGAAGTTAAATGGCTCAGAGAACAAAATTAACTAAACTATGATTCCATGGGCAACTTCAGAAAGCAGCTGCTTGTTACAGAGCACAGGCAAGCTCAGCTGTTCCGAAACAGTACCTTGAGTTTAGGGGGCGGGTGGCTGCTAATCCATGAGAATAGGGAGTGCATGTGATGTGCATTTCTATGGCTGCAATCCTAACTCCATTTAGCGGGGAGAAATCCCCACTTAACTCTGTAGGATGTACTTCTATACAGATGTTGTTAGGGGTTCCTTACTGACAGTGCAATCCTAACAGATCTGGAGGAAGAGGAATGAACCTCATTTATCCTTAACCAAAGCCAGCATGGCCAATGCTTTGTTTTTGTTTAGAAAATTCATAACCTGCTTGACAAACAAAATAATCTGCTAAGTGTTGCGAGTCCAACATCTGGATTGCCACTGTTCCCCCACCTGTTGTTTAAGAAAACACTGAGTAGTCAGGTGTTGCATGATTACTAGCATTGCTTTGAAAACCTCTCTGCTCTAATCTGGCCACAAACATGAAAGCTGTTGCAATGACAATGATGGGTGCCAACCTCTCTTTTGCTTTGCTTCTTGCTGTTTCTTTGCTTTGGCAGCTTCCAACTCCTGCTTCTCGTGGGCTTCCTTTAATGTCTTGCATACTTTCTTGTGTGTAAACCAGTGCATTTTCTGGCAGTCTTGATCACAGTAGATCACCTGCGAATGAAACAAGCCATGCCTCAATGCACAAAAAGGATGGGCTTGCATTTGAATCATCCAGGTTCTATAAGGCACCCATTCATTTCTGTATGGAAAACTGGAAATCTAAACCTTGCAATGGCTGGCTTATTTTAACAACAGCAAATAGTTTGTTTCTGTTGACTTGTGCAACCAGGAACAGCTATTGCTCACTTTCACTTTAGGAGATCCAAGATCTAGCACCTGTAACATCTATGCTGCTCCTATAAAGGAACAGTCTCCAGATACAGGAACAGTTGAAATCTCTTGCTGGAATCTCAGTCAGTGGTATTTACCTGCAGATTCTTACCATTTTGCATACGGAACATCTTTTGGCTGCACCTTTCCCCCCACATGTTGTACAAAACTCAGCATCCACAAAGCCCACTTGGCCAGTAACTGCTTGTGTCAGTACAGAGAAAGCTGTAGGATCAGAACCCTGGGGGAAAAGATAGACAGTTAAGTCATTGCAAACATACACCCTCCCCCAGCCAATGAGAAGCCTGCAGCTACAACACTAATGGGGGGGGGAATCTGCATATTTTCAATGTACACTTTAGTACTGTTGCACTGCTCTTAAATGCAAGATCTTAGCCTGGCATATGGAGGGAAGCAGAGAAATTATTCTTCCACTCTCCCAAGATTTAACTTTGTTGATCCTTCCAGCGTAAGGTATACTGGTGGTGACATCGCTGAGATTATTTGGGAATGAAAATCAATTCAGGGATGCATAAGGTTTGGCTTGTTGCCACTTATGCCTGAGTTTCCTGGCATGTGTAGTGTTTTGAGAAGAGAAGAAGGAAGAGGGGATTCCTATTACAGTAGACTTTAGAGTGGACAAAGGCACATTGTCTCTTATGCTGCTTCTGCCTCCTCTGAAGCTCAGTGTGGCAGAAGAGGTAAATTCCCCCACACCCCGGTCAGGGTTTTGGAAAAGGAAAGATTATGTTTCTGCCTATATTCTCAGCAGCACATGATACCCCCTCCTCTCCTCTCCTATAAAGCTAAGAAGGAACTCTAGCTCCTGGATTGGGGAATTCAGAGACGCTATCAGAATATAAAGGAAACTCATTAAAAAAGATCTTCCATCTTCTGTATGAAATACAGTTCTTCAGAATAACTGCAAATATCAAGTGTACCCATTAAGCTGTATCTTGGGGATTTCAAATGTTCTGCCAAAGAAAGAGAAGCTATTAAACTAGAGACACTCACAATTTCAACTGGGGCAATGCTTCTCACAAGCTGCTGGAGCAAGGTTGCTTCACAGTAAGGAAATTTTCGAATGCATTCTCGGATGAGCTTCTCTTGAAATACTGGGAAACCATCTGCATCTCTGCCTTTTAATAGGCTGGAAAGATTAAAGCAAAAGATGAATGAAAAAAAACTCATGCCAATCCTATTGGGCAATCACTTTGCTTTATTTGTTTGTTTTTTTTAATGATATTTATTAAAGTTTCACAAAAATACAGAAAACAAAGAAAAAAGTATAAATTACAGCAAAAAAGTAAAAAGTAAGAAAAAACATACAAAATAAAACAGTTAAAAACACAATAATGTTCCATAACCTATCTTCCTTACTCTTATTTCCCCAGACCTCCTCATACCTCCCTTCTTTGTATTCCAATTCAGTTTGTTGGTTCAGCAAATCCTTACCATTAATCTTTTACCCAATTGTTAACCTTTTTTTTCCATGTCTCTTAAAGCATTACAGCTAAAAACCTCTTAATTTCTATCCAACATCCTTCTAAAGTTCCTTAATTTTACAATATTTCTGTAAATAGTCCTTAAATTTTTTCCAGTCTTCTTTCACCGACTCTTCTCCCTGGTCTCGGATTCTGCCAGTCATTTCCGCCAATTCCATGTAGTCAATCACCTTCATCTGCCATTCTTCCAAAGTGGGTAGATCTTGTGTCTTCCAATACTTTGCGATAAGTATTCTTGCTGCTGTTGTAGCATACATGAAAAAGGTTCTGTCCTTCTTTGGCACCAGTTGGCCGACAATGCCCAAGAGAAAGGCCTCTGGTTTCTTCAGAAAGGTATATTTAAATACCTTTTTCAGTTCATTATATATCATTTCCCAGAAAGCCTTAATCTTTGGGCACGTCCACCAAAGGTGAAAGAATGTACCTTCAGTTTCTTTACATTTCCAACATTTATTATCGGGCAAATGATAAATTTTTGCAAGCTTGACTGGGGTCATGTACCACCTGTATATCATTTTCATAATATTCTCTCTTAAGGCATTACATGCCGTAAACTTCATACCTGTGGTCCATAACTGTTCCCAGTCAGCGAACATAATATTATGTCCAACATCTTGTGCCCATTTAATCATAGCAGATTTCACCGTTTCATCCTGAGTATTCCATTTCAACAGCAAGTTATACATTCTTGACAAATTTTTAGTTTTGGGTTCTAACAATTCTGTTTCTAATTTTGACTTTTCCACTTGGAAGCCTATTTTCTTATCCAAATTATATGCCTCCATTATCTGATAGTAGTGGAGCCAATCTCTCACTTTATTTTTTAATTTTTCAAAACTCTGCAGTCTCAATTTATCTCCTTCTTGCTCCAAAATTTCCCAATATGTCGGCCATTTGGCCTCCATATTGAGCCTTTTCAGAGCTTTTGCTTCCATTGGTGACAGCCACCTTGGGGTTTTATTTTCCAATAAGTCTTTGTATCTTATCCAGACATTAAACAATGCTTTCCTAACAATATGATTTTTGAATGCTTTGTGTGCTTTGACCTTATCATACCATAAATATGCATGCCATCCAAATACATTGTTAAAACCTTCTAAATCCAAAATGTCTGTGTTTTCAAGAAGTAGCCATTCTTTCAGCCAGCAAAAAGCTGCTGATTCATAATAAAGTTTAAGGTCTGGCAGGGCAAATCCACCTCTTTCCTTGGCGTCAGTTAATATCTTAAATTTTATTCTGGGCTTCTTGCCCTGCCAGACAAATCTAGAAATATCTCTCTGCCACTTCTTGAAACAGTCCATCTTATCTACAATTTGTAATGTCTGAAACAAAAACAACATTCTAGGCAATACATTCATCTTTATCACAGCAATACGGCCCAGCAACGAGAGTTTCAAATTTGACCAAATTTCTAAATCCTTTTTCACTTCCGTCCAACATTTTTCGTAATTATCTTTAAATAAGTTCCCATTTTTGGCTGTCATATTAATCCCCAAGTATTTCACTTTCTTTACCACATTCAATCCTGTCTCATTCTGAAACCTCTCTCTTTCAATCGGTGTTAAGTTTTTCTCTAAAACCTTAGTTTTTAACTTGTTCAATTTAAAACCTGCCACCTGACCAAATTCCTGAATTAATTCTAAAACTCTTTTAGTACTAGATTCTGGCTCCTGTAACGTCAATACTAGGTCATCTGCAAATGCTCTCAATTTGTACTGTTTAGCTCCGACCTGTATGCCCTTAACCAACCGGTCCTTTCTAATCATATTTAGCAAAACCTCCAGGACCGATATAAAAGCAGTGGGGAAATTGGGCACCCCTGTCGTGTCCCTTTTCTATCTTAAATTCTTCCGTAACCACATTATTTACAATTAATTTAGCCTTTTGTTCAGAGTATATTGCACCTATACCATTTTCAAAACCTTGGCCTACCCCCATCCCATGCAGATTCTTCTTCATAAAACTCCAAGAGATATTATCAAAAGCTTTCTCCGCGTCAACAAATATCAATACTGCTTTGGTGTTTATATTCACTTCTAATTTTTCCAAAATATCAATTATATTCCTCAAATTATCAGACAGGTGTCTTCCCGGGAGAAAGCCCGCTTGGTCTTTATGAATCTCTTTCATCAATATTTTTTCAATCTCTTGGCCAAAATGTCTGCAAAAATTTTGTAATCCACATTAAGTAACGATATAGGGCGATAGTTCTTAAGCTGAGTCTTTTCAGTCTCTGTTTTCGGTATAAGTGTGATATACGCCTCTTTCCACGATTCTGGTGCCCTTTTCCCCTCCAATATTTCATTGCAGACTTCCTTCAAAGGTTGCAGTAACCACTCTTTCAAAGATCTATAGTATCTGGAAGTCAGCCCATCCGGTCCTGGAGATTTGCCCAATTGCATATTTTGTATGGCACCTTCTACTTCCTGTTCAGATATTTTATAGTTCAGCATTAATTTACTTTCTTGAGAGATTTTTGTAGGCCATTTGTCTTCAAAAATTGGTCTATGTCCATTTCCTTCTGTGGCCCTTGTGTGTATAATTGTTTAAAGTACTTCTGGAAGCAATTTCTAATCTCATTTGGATTATGTATACTCTTTCCTTCCACTTCTAAATTTATAATAGTATTTAATTTTTGTCTTTTTTTCATTTGCCAGGCCAACAGTTTTCCACATTTATTAGCTGATTCAAATGTTTTTGTCTCATTTGTTTGATTTTCCATTCTATTTCCTGATTCATCATTTCCATATATTGTACTTGATATAATTTTATTTCTCTCAAAATCTCCTGGGACTTTGGTTTTGCTCTCAATTTCTTCTCTCCTTCTTTTATTTTTTCCAAGATTTTATCTTTCTTTTCATTTTGACTTCTCTTCTTTATTGCATTCTGTTGTATCAAAATCCCTCATCACAGCTTTGCTTGCGTCCCAGATTACTCTTTTTCTACATTGGTATTCATATTTATTTCAAAATAATCTCTCAAAGTCTTTTGGGCCTTTTTGTAAACTTCTTCATCTCTAAATAAGGTGTCATTCATCCTCCATCTAAAGGATCCGGTTGTTGTTTGTTTCATCTCCATCCTTACAGCATTATGGTCGGAACAAGTTTTTGGGCAGATTTCTACCTTCTTTATCTTTGGTGCCATTCCTCTAGTTATCCATATTTGGTCAATTCTAGTCCATGTCATCTTGGCTTCAGAAAAAAGGTTCCTTCTCTTCCCAGGGGTTCTTTACCCTCCAGATGTCCACTAAGTCCATATTGTCTGTCATCTCAAAAATGTTTTCGGTAGTCTACCATCCTTGGTGACTACCTGTCTTTGAGCCTTGTCCATATTTGTAGATACTACTCCATTCATGTCCCCATCAAAATCAAATTATAGTCCAAATGATCCAATAAAGTCTCATGCAACTTTTTATAGAATTCAGATTTCCCTCGTTCGGTGCATAAATTCCTACGATTAAGAATTTCTCTCCTTGTAGTTGAATTTCAATTGCCAAAAATCTTCCTTGATCATCTTTAAAGATAAATTTCGGTAAAAGTCTCTCCTTTGCATAAATCACAACTCCTCTTTTTTAACTTTGTCAGATGAGACAAACTCCTGTCCTAATCTTTTATTAATCAATAACTTCCTATGTGCCCTTGTTATATGTGTCTCTTGTAGACAAATCAAGTCCAATTGTTCTTTTTTTAATACCGTATTTTTCGTTCTATAGGACGCACCGGCCCATAGGACGCACCTCGTTTTTTTGGGGGGGGGGAAATGAATAAAAAAAATTATTCCCCCCCTTGCGGCTGCCGCCCCAAGCCTCGCGTGCTTCGGGCTGCAGGCTACCGCCCCAAGCCTCGCGCGCTCGGCGGGACCTCCTGCCGGGCGCGCAAGGCTTGCAGACACTCGCCCGAAGCACGGGGAGCCCTCCGGAGGGCTCCCCGTGCTTGGGCGACAGGCTGCAGCCCCAAGCCTTGCGCGCCGGCGGGACCTCCTGCCGGGCGCGCAAGGCTTGCAGACACTCGCCAAGCACGGGAGCCCTCCGGAGGGCTCCCCGTGCTCGGGCGACAAGCTGCAGCCCCAAGCCTTGCGCGCCGGCGGGACCTCCTGCCGGGCGCGCAAGGCTTGCAGACACTCGCCCGAGCACGGGAGCCCTCCGGAGGGCTCCCCGTGCTTCGGGCGACAGGCTGCCGCCCAAGCCTTGCGCGCCGGCGGGAACTCCTGCCGGGCGCGCAAGGCTTGCAGACACTCGCCCGAAGCACGGGAGCCCTCCGGAGGGCTCCCGTGCTCGGGCGACAGGCTGCCGCCCCAAGCCTTGCGCGCTCGGCGGGACCTCCTGCCGGGCGCGCAAGGCTTGCAGACACTCGCTCGAAGCACGGGAGCCCTCCGGAGGGCTCCCGTGCTTCGGGCGACAGGCTGCTGCCCCAAGCCTCGCGCGCCGGCGGGACCTCCTGCCGGGCGCGCAAGGCTTGCGGACACTCGCCGGGGCTGCAGGCTGCTGCCTGCAAGCCTTGTGAGCCCGCGGGAACTCCCACCGGGCTTGCAAGGCTTGCGGATAGCTTCCTGAAGCCTGGAGAGCGAGAGGGGTCGGTGCGCACCGATGCCTTTCGCTCTCCAGGCTTCAGCGAAAGCCTGCATTCGCTCCATAGGACGCACACACATTTCCCCTTCATTTTTGGAGGGGAAAAAGTGCGTTCTATGGAGCGAAAAATACGGTAAATGAAACACACTTTTTCCTTTTCGCGGAGAATTCAAACCGTTACAATTCCAGCTTAATAGTTGCAGAGCCATGATGGGGGCTACTTCACTTTACCTCCAACTGCCCCAAGTGCCGCTTCTTGTTCTGTGGGTAGTATCACTTTTTCTGGACCGTGCAGTCCAAAAGATAAATTTGATATGTCTAGTATGCCTTTTGGTTCTTCTTCAGATTCCCTTCTTTCAGTAGATCTTCCTCGTGATCTTTCAAGAATCTGTCTTTTTCCTCAGTTGATTTTATTTTTATCTTTCTCCCTTTATATTTGAAGGACAGGCCTTGCGGAAATTCCCACCTGAAAAGAATTCTGTTTCTTTTCAATAAGGTCACTAGGTCTCCGTAATTGGACCTTAAGTCCAGCAAATGCTTTGGGATGTCCTTAAAAATCACTAGTCTTGAGTCATCAATTTCCAAAGTTTTTGATAGTGCAAATTCAGAATTTTATCTCTCTCTTCTTTTGTTCGAAAGGTAATCAAACAGTCTCTCACCTTGCCCTTGCCTTGTCTTCTTCCGAGCCTAAATGCATTCACTATCTTAAATTCTTCCTTCCCCGGGTCCAATTGCCAAAAATCTGTAAATTCCTCTGTAAGAAAATCAGCCAAATTATCTTTCTCCCGCTCTGGAACAGCCCTAATTCTCAGATTTCTCTGTCTATCTTTTAATTCAAACATGGAAAATGTCACATCATGGTCCTCCAATTTCTTATATACAGGTGGAATTTTCTCCTGAGTAGCAATTGCAATATCTTTTGCTTCCTGGGCAGTTTGTCGAATCAAGGCAGATTCCTGTAGTAATTTTTCGATAGTCTCTGTGTTGGCATTCACCTTCTGTCCCAAGGTATTAATACTTGCAGTATTTAAATCAATTTTATTTGATGCTTCCACAACTTGTCTATTTGTCTCAACTACTTGCCTATTTGTTTCTGCTACTTGTCTATTTGTCTCAGTTACCTGTTTACTTAGGCTTTCCAAAGATTCATTAATTTTTGCCAGAGGCTGTGCCAAAACTTCTTCTGACGTCATAACTTTTGATTTAGACTGTGGGAGTGGGGCCCCTAATGCTCCGGATGCTCCAGATGTTGAGCCCTTCGCGGCAACGCAGTATCTATCCGATAATGTCTGCCAGACCTAGTCATTTTTGCCTGCGATTCCGCCTTCTTATCCTCTGCCATAACAGTCTCATAGACATTCAAGGTTGCTCCCACAGTCAACCAATTGTTTTGACATAGAGTGGAATTTTCCTCTTTGTAACTATTGTTGTAACAATGTCCAATCTCCTCTAGGGGGACACAGTAACAGCCAGAACTTGTAACTTTTTAGAAACAAAAATAGTCTTTATAAATCCCCCAATTTACTTTCAAAGTCCACAGTCTCAATACATTTAAACAGTTACTTTTAAGCCAAAATAGGTTCGGAAACACTGTATCACTTTTGCAGAATTGGCTGTCAGAAATAAGCTTTCACTATAGACCTCTATCTTAAGGCAGTCCGTTCTGAATCTTAAATTGTGAATTCTTCCTTCCTCTCCCCTTCTTTACTGCAGGGAAATTCAGCTCAGTCTTTTTCCCCCTCCTCTCCTGCAATCCGGAGGGGGAACCACTTTCAAGATGTTGGAATTTAGCACATTTAAGTGACTTTCCGAGTTTCTGCTTTGAAGTCTCTTTGCTTTGATCTATTTACAATTCAGGGGAGGTAGACTTCCTGCTTGTACCTTCCCTGCTCGTGCCAAATTAACTTTTTTCCCCCCTTTAAATCCAATTTACTCCTACTCACGGGTAGTTGTTTTCAGTGCCAATTGTCCCAGGAAAAAAGGCAGAGCTCTCTGGTAACAGCTTCGCGGCTTCACTCCACGGAAGAAGCAATTTGCTCACAGCACCACGCCACCCCCGCTCCGCTCCGGAGCCCGTTGCCGAGCTCCTTTAGCAATTGGGGGGGCGCAAACGGTGCCCGCTGAGTCCCACGTTCACAGGCTTCACCCGCCTGTGATTTATTTGGGGGTCCCCGCTGCGCCGTAGCGACAGGACCCAAATTCCGTAGAGCTAGTTCTCTCCAAATTAGAGAGAAGCAGCCATTACCGTTTGCTTTATTTGTAGTTGCCATGCCTGCCTTACGGTGCAATCAACACAAGATAATATCACCAAGGCAACTCTCTGTAAACAAACAATAAACATACATAAAAATGGCAAAAGTAGTTTCTTTCCCAAATATGTTTTATCTTAAAGTAAAGGTAAAGGTACCCCTGCCCGTACGGGCCAGTCTTGACAGACTCTAGGGTTGTGCACCCATCTCACTCAAGAGGCCAGGGGCCAGCACTGTCCGGAGACACTTCCGGGTCACGTGGCCAGCGTGACAAAGCCGCATCTGGCGAGCCAGCGCAGCACACGGAAACGCCGTTTACCTTCCCGCCAGTAAGCGGTCCCTATTTATCTACTTGCACCCGGGGGTGCTTTCGAACTGCTAGGTTGGCAGGCTCTGGGACCAAGCAACGGGAGCGCACCCCGCCGCGGGGATTCGAACCGCCGACCTTTCGATCAGCAAGCCCTAGGCGCTAAGGCTTTTACCCACAGTGCCACCCGCGTCCCATGTTTTATCTTAAACAATAGCAAACACAGTAAATAAAGAGCTCGCTTGTAATATATCAGCGGTTCAGTGCTCATTTCTTCTTTTTCCAAAATAGATTTTATCTTGAACAATTGCAAATGCAGTAATAAAGAGTCCACTTGTGATATAACAGTGGTTCAGTGCTCAAACCACGGGTGTCGATTGTGTTGGTTGCAGTGGTCATTGTACCACCACCCTGTTCATTGTTTTATTGTTATTTATGGTGCAGCACATAGGTCAAGATTTTAATATTTGAACTACATGCCCACAGCATAACAGAGAAAGATGCTAATGCACGAACTTTCTGTGTGCAACACTTAAAATATGTATCTATATCTTTCAGCTCTGAGATTTCACAATAACGTTTCGGCAGCTAAAGATATTCTTGCCCTACAACGAAAGTTGAGGGCAACTGAAACATAGACCTGATTCATGCAACATGGTAAGCTAAACTATGGGCTACTGGGAACAAAGGAACATGGTTGGAGTAACTGGGTATGACCGTAAATCACCCCATGGATGAGGTAATCGCAGGTGCAAGGCAGCCAAGCCAGCTGCTATGGTAACTCCCCAATGCCCCGACCATATCTGTGATTAATGCAAGTCAGCTTAGCAGGGTCTCAGTCATTTACTCAGTATGTTGGTGTTACTTATCCAGTATCATGTCTTGAATTGCTCGTTTATTTGGAGCAACGGATATACTTTTTGACTGTATGTATCAATGGCTGCAAAAGCCTACTGCTGTATATGTCTATCCCCAGAAGTGTTTAACTAGGCCTTATCTTCTGCAACAATAAACCAACTGGATCTTAAGCTCCTTCCATGTAATGACTGGTACTGAGAGCAACTTCCACTGCAGGGTATCTCACCTAAGATTCCCTACAGACATGTGGGTACCTTGAGAGGAAATTGTAGCCACTTTACTCTTCTCAAGCCCTTTTCGCTCCCACAACATTGCATGGAACTAAACCAAGCTTTGGCTTAGCATATCGTCCAGACCTGAGCTCATGGTTACACTGTGTCCTCACTAACCACAAGCTATAGCCAAAGCTTGCTTGGTTTGTTGTGCCATGTGAACCAGGTCATAGCACCTTTTACTTAATTATCTTGTCCATCTTGTGAACTACTGCAATAATAAAAAAATGAATTATTGCTGTTACAGCAGAACAGCCTAAAAAGAATCAGCAGCATCCTCAGATCTTTAAACACGATAGCAGATTAAAAGGCCTCAGCAAAGATTAAAAAATAATCTTGGTCTAGCATAAAAGAGACACAGAAGAAGAGCCCAGGGAAGGAGGATCAAGAAGAGAGGATGAAGGAGAGATGAGCAGAATCCCTTCCTCATGGGCAGGATTAATATATATATATCAGAAGGCGGATGTGTGTGCATCTCAAAAGATGCATTTTTTTTGTCCCTTTCCTCAAACTAATGGCTTAACCTGTAGATAACTATGGAGAATATTCATCTAGCTGTAGATAGCATGGGGATTTGAAGGAAACTGAGCAGCAAACCATTCATTTTAACATTCAAGGTAAGCAGTCTGTCTTTACTTGGATAGAAATGAACACAAATGCTTTTCTGCATGCATTAAATGTCATTCATGATGGGGATCATACCTTTTGATTAATCCATCCAATTTATCCTCTCGCTCCTTAAGGAAGAGGATGCATTTCTGGAAAATACAGCTAATGTAGTGCATTTTGATTGCCAGTACTTCATTCATCTCTCTCTGCTTCATACACTTCTCACAAATCAGATCCAGCACTCTGTAGCATTTCTGCATTGCTTCAACTTCTGCTAGGAGAGGGTTTTCTTTCACAAGCAACACAATCTATAGGAAAAGATTAACAAGAGTTATCTTTCCTGGATAGATGATTTAAAACAGAATCAATAGGTAATTTTTAAGTGCTCATATTAACAGGACTTCTTGCTTTTTTATCTTCTTAAATAAGCTATATTACCTAAGAAACTTGCCAGGCCATAGGTGGATCACATTGGGAATATGACTGACCCATTTTAGTGTCCACAATGCATGCAATACTTATTACAGGAAGTGATAGTCATACAAAATGAATGAATCTTTGATCAAGCAACTGAACATCATAACCCTTTCCAAGGTTCATGGTGTTAAGCGGCATTGCTTATGTAGCCAAAAACACCTATGTACGGGAGGGCAGTATCAGCAGACTGGGGGGAACCCCCAAGTTTTGGATCAGTACCCTAAGCCACAAAACCCACAGGAACCCACAAAACAGTCCAACAAGGACCAAACAAGCCAACTGTAACAACAGTTGTTACAGACAGGGAATGGAATGGAGTTGTTTGAATACTGAACTGTAGCAACTCACACAGCTATTTTTTGTTGCAAGTCTCACTTGTAGCTTCCAGCTACAAGCATCAGGCCCTTTCTGAAACTACAGGGTTTCACAGAAACTGATAACAGAGATGAGTGTCACACAAGTAGATTTCAGCTCTTCTTTTGCATGCAAGTCCTTATGAGATGCTGTCTTGCTTCTGCTTAATCACTGGTCTTGAACTAGTGTGTTGGGACACACTACTATGTTGTGACCTAATCTGAGGTGGGTCATAGCAGCAACATTACCATTGTACAAATATATGATTAAGAAATGGGCTCCCAAATGTCTGTTTGGGTTAAAAGTAGGTCCTGGATCTCAAAAAGTTGAAGACTACTATGCTAGTCTTAAGGTGTATATACTTGAGTACAATGATCTTCAGTGTGCTAACCTTTGAGTGTTTCATGTTGGGGACTATTTTACAATAAATATTTCTCCATTTGAGAATGAGGTACTAAAGCCCCTATGAGCAGGCCAGGACTATGGAATATCAAGAAGAAGCTCAGAATCATAAATTAGCTGCTGGCCAAATTTTGCCACCCAACTCCATAGACCAAATATTTTTTCTTAGAGGACCGACCTCAGCAAGGTTGTAAGTTATTTGACAAGTATGCCTAAAGGATAAGCCAAAATATGAACACTCTACCTTAACAGGATGCAAATTGGTAGTTGTAATGATCTTATGCAGAGGTCCAGCTAACTTGACTGGCAGTTTGGGTTCTTTGTCAAGTCCTTGTGGTTTTGTATAGTAATCCAACCTTTCTCGAGGAAAGAAGTTGTTGATAACAGTGACACAGTCATGTTGACCTAAAAAGAGAACGGTGCATCTTTTATGAAGATGAAGAACAATTACTTCACACATGAAGCACAAATCACAGAGGTTGTTCGCCATTTAGAGGAAGTACTATACAGTGGTACCTCAGGGGTTAAGTACTTAATTCGTTCTGGAGGTCTGTTCTTAACCTGAAACTGTTCTTAACCTGAAGCACCACTTTAGCTAATGGGGCCTCCTGCCGCCGCCGTGCCGCTGGAGCACAATTTCTGTTCCCATCCTGAAGCAAAGTTCTTAACCTGAAGCAATATTTCTGGGTTAGCAGAGTCTGTAACCTGAAGCGTATGTAACCTGAAGCATATGTAACCCCAGGTATCACTGTACTAATAAACCACTGTGGAACTAAATGGAAATAGCTTCACACAGAGGCAATATTTCAAGGCTCAAGGCCTACCGTATATGTAATATGAAGTTTACAGAACTAAACTAACTCACCTTTTCAGAGAACTTAGGATCTGATGGGCAAAGCGGCTTTTAAGACACATTATGAAACAGTTCTAAAGTTATTCCCACTTTTAAAGGTTTGTTTTATTTGACTGCACGAACTAAATCTAAAAATGGTGCTGCTAACCAGTCAAAAATTTAATTATTCTGGAAGATATGACATTACATGACATTTCAAAGCAGCTCATATGAGATTGCATGATTGACGCGGGCTCACCTTTCAGCCAGCGGTAGAATGCTTAGTGATTACGCCTCATTAATAGGTTTTTTTTTTATTTTAGAAACAATGATTGCAAAGCTTCCAATGCAGACTGGCAATTACAGTGACTGAATCTCTGACTAAGTACTGACTGTTCAGATGTAGTAGATGTGATATGTGGGTGTAATTTTCCCCAAGTTGTAAGCAGATTCCTGCAATAAAGTGGTAGGTCTTTTGACTGGATCCACTAGTCTCCTTGTCTCACAATCCTCTTTGTGTCTGGGTTTTTTTTTTTATGTAATCATCAAAAGACTTGACTTTAGAACACTTTTAAAAAAAAATTGGGTAAAAGGTCTCTCCTCACCAATCCTTCCAACCCCTTTGCCAGGAAAAACAAACAAAAATATTTTCTTCTTCTTCATAGTCTATCCTTAAAAGGAAATACAGCTCAAAGAGCACCACCATTTATTTATTTAAATATATATTTACATACAGTTATCAGCTCACGGAGGCTACTCCTGTCTAGCAAACTCCTCCCTGCTGCTAGTTAAAATCTTCCTTCTCAAAGGAGGAAGTCAGCAAGGGGAATGACAGGGAAGGCTGGCCACAAATGGAGCTAAACCCATTTTTGAGCTGGACTCAGATTTTTACCAAAAATCAGATGGTTGAGTTTGAAATAGAGCAGATTTCTTTCCTAATTATGAATTCAAAATTCCCCCCTCCTGCTGCCAACTAATGTTAGAGAGCAATTTGAGAAAAGCAGCAATCACCCAACGAATATTTTTTAAATGTCTTCCCCTAGTTAAGAACCTGGTACTGAACACCCCGTTGCCAATAAACATTAAGTCAAATCAATCTCCATCTTCTCAGAGCCTTAATGGAGGGGTGAGGAACCTGCAGCACTCCACTTGTTGTTGGGCTGTATCTTTCATCTGCCCCAGGCAGCACGGCCAATAGTCAGGGATGATGGAGTCAAAGTCCAGCAACAATTGGAAGGTCACAGGTTTCCCACCCTGGACTTCATGAAGGATAATTCAAAATGGCCGCTCCATTTACCCACAAAGGCAGCCATCTGTGCTGCTGTCCTTCCCACTGAGTTCACGACATCTGTATCTGCTCCAGCCTCCAACATCATCCACGTAATTTCCTTGTTGCCTAAACACAGAAGAGAACACCTTTCATTTAGATTTCTCATAATGAGTCTGTATAAAAGTTTCAGCCATACAAGGTTTTTTTGGTGGGTCGCTGTAATGGCTTGTGAATGCTCTTCGCAAAAAATGCCTCTGCTAGTCAGAGATACATATATACAGTCTTTATTTTACATATGTACAAGCAGCACATTACAATCATGCATCCGAATCCTCCGGCTCAGATTCTGGGAGTGACTTATGCCCGCCCCTTCTCCAACAGAAAAGGCGTGGAATTTTCATGTGATGTCTCTGTCCCCTCCTCTTTAACACTCTCCTTTCTTTGGCAGATGGAATAGGCATTGTTTCACTGTCTGTGCCAGAACTTCCTGTGCGGTGTTGAGGCTCTGGTTCAACATCTGTGAGCCGTTCCGCCTCCTGGCTTCCTCCTCTTTCCTCAATCGCCACTTCCTGCCCCCCTTCCTCTGCCTGTCTCTGCTCCTCCCCTTCATTCTCTGGCAATACCATGACAGTCGCCCCCCTACAAGACATTAAACATTTCGTCCCTTGTAAATCTGCAGTTTAAGGCTGTTGCTACTGCTGCCGCCAGTAAACATTTAGAAAATGGGGAGCTGCTTTATACCGAGTCAGACAAGTGCTTCATCTGGCTGAGATGAATACTGTCTACACTGACTGGCAGCAGCTCTTCCAAGTTTCCAGACACAGGTCTTTCTCAGCCCTATCTGGAAACACCACAGATTGAGCCTGGGTCTTTCTGCAAGTGAAGAAGGTGCTTTTCCACAGAGCTACAGTCCTTATTCATCCCCAGTAGCTGGAAATGAAGATGCCATTTGCTTTCTCAAGGTTTCACCCAACCCTCTGTCTTGCCAGTATGAATAGATTCTGCACCAAGGCCTGATGGCTGCACTAGCCTTCCCCAGTGGCATCACTTTCTGCTGTCATCTAATCCATCTTTGGAAATTGCTAATTTTTTTGCAGTAGGGAGTTCCATAGCTTAGCTTTCCATGAGCTAAGTTCATATATGTGCTCTGGAAGTATTATGACTCAGCCTCCTGATTTTAGGCAGAATTTTCTAACCCAGAGGTTCTAGGTGAAGAGCACATTATTTTATATTTCAGTGGGTACTGATGCCTCTCAAACTACTTTTTGCACATATCCTGTAATTTCTTTTACTGTATTCCGCACCCCAAGAGAAAACCACCAGTTTCTTTCCTCTCCTCCTCCATGGTCCTTTCACATTCACTTCTTCCTCCCATATCGACTTTCCTCTCTTATCTCCTTCCTTCCTTTCCCTCATGTTATTTTAATAATTCCTATTGGCATTTCCTTTCACGTTCTTATTCCTTCAACGCTTTCACCACCTCTTTCCCCTCAGAGAGGCCTTCTTACTCCCACAATCTGATATATGCATTCACAAATATTGTTTGCTATTCATGCTTCTACCTTTTGCTAGAGAGAGACACATATATTTAATAGACCCTGAAATCTAAACCATATTTTTTAAAATAAAGATGTTACCCTTTAAGGGTATATTCCAGCTAAGCCCAAGAACAACACCTGGATGGCTGATGTTTGATTTTATTGGTTTAAAGAACAAAGAAAAACCCTGACAATTAATATGCACACACAACATAAATACTGTACTCTGCTATACCTGTAACACCTTAAATGGCTCAAGGACCGCCTCTCCCCATATGAACTGACCCTGCAATCATCATCTGAGGCCCTTCTTTAAGTGCCTCCTCCATGAGAGGTCCAGAGGGTGAAAGATATCCAAGAGCAAAGCTGGGTCCTCAGAGTTGTCTGATTAGCTATTAATTCTATCCCAATTTTCCAGTAAAAGACTATCAGTGGCTTACAATAAAAACAGTATTTGGTTAAGAAAAGAATAGCAATCTTGCCTATAAAGTAGAGGTAGACCTTACCTCTAACACATCATCCTTTAACAAAAGATAAAAAATCTGCCTACACAAAGACACGAAGGATTCCTTTATCTGCACCAAGAAGCAGATGTAATTAACAACGGGGGAAACCTCATAGATACCTGAGAGCCCAGCAAACATCAGAGCCGTATATCCGTGTTCATGTTCGTTGCAGTTAACATCAGCCCCATGCCGCAACAACAGTTTGCACACCTCAACTTTCCCTTTGTATGCCGCATGCATCAGAGGAGTCATGCCATGCTATGGAAAGAAAAAATAAATAGAGGACCTTCAAATATATCTGTTCGTTCTTCTCCAGTAGAATTTAAACACAAGCAAGCTACGCTTCTAAAATGAAAAGATAGCACTCCAAATACAGTATAGCCCAGGGGTCAGAAAACTTTTTTGGCAGGGGGCCGGTTCACTGTCCCTCAGACTTTGTGGGGGGCCGGACTATATTTTGAAGGGGGGGGGAAACAAATTCCTATGCTCCACAAATAACCCAGAGATGCATTTTAAATCAAAGGACACATTCTACTCATGTAAAAACACGCTGATTCCTGGACCATCTGTGGGCTGGATTTAGAAGGCGATTGGGCCGGATCCGGCCCCCAGGCCTTAGTTTGCCTACCCATGGTATAGCCTTTTTGATGTTCACTTTGCTGCATTTGAATACTCTTTAACTATATATTCTTTCAACAAAATCCAGCTTTTAGAAAACCAACTACGTCTCCAATTTAGCAGAGGGTACCTTTGTACACATTCAGCTTCAGTGTAAGCTACTAATGAGAAGGAAACTTCAGCTACCATTGCATGCCTTTCTATGTGGGCAACTGCAGTTCTTCCCCACCCCGCACACCCATCAATACTTATGAAGATTATACTAATGACTATATTAATGAAAAGCTTTTCAGTTTTGCTTTTGGAGTAGCTAGTATGACTTGGTGTATCAGCGAATAATAGAGCCCCCTTACTTGTACTGGAGATAGGAGCAATTAAGTTGCAAAGCATCAATAATAAATATTTATTTAGATTTTTAAAAAGGGGGGGGAGTAGAATGAACACTGAAGTGTTTAAGCTTTTAATTCCTAGGCAACTATTCTAATAATAATCTGAAGTATTAATAAAAGTATTAGTAAGATTTGTTTTTTTTCCAAAAATGTGCACATCAGTTGCTTTCACACAATTAACAACATGTCTAATTTGGTGGGAAACCACACAATTCTCTGAGGAGAGTAACAGCTGCAAGCAGGGAGACCTGCAAAGGACCTCTTTATATTTGAGTTTGCAGTATGGCAATTTATATAATAGGCAAGTTTTATATTTGGGAAGCCATGTGGGAGAGATGGATCATTACCAGTTTTGGGTAGTTTCTTTAGCTGCAGGCACTGGTGAAAAACCTGTCATTTTAAGCAGCAGTTCACACACACTCTCTGTTATGAATCATACATTTGTTAAGCCAGAAATGAACAATGGCATTTAGGACCTCTGCTTCCATTGTTTCTCATTTCCAGCAGCTCCCTTTGCTTTGTGTTCTTTTCTAAAGAGATTAAAATGCTTAAATGCAGGGAGACTTGTTCAAATTATACACGTGAGTCTTCCGCATGCTGAAGATATATTCCAAGCAGTGGGATGAAATTTTGTGCATTAAGGATCAATGAGGTATTTGTATAGACCACCTGTACAGGAAGCCAACTCTAGAGTGGTGCCCTTTTCCCTGCCTTAATCTGCTCCCTACGAATTGATAATGAGGATTAAAAAAAAAAGATAACCACCTGGCCTCAGAGCTATATAGGAGAGCCAACTCACACATTATACAGCACTTCTGGAAGACATTTGAAAAATAATCTCAGAAGTGGAGGAAAAAGCCAAGTAACTGGAAGACGGAACATGATGCTATACAAACAACATGTGGACAACCAATATGAAGAAACCACAAAGTGAGTGCCTTATCATGTTATGTAAATATAGTGAGATGGATTCAGATGAATAGGAATAAAACCGTCCCTGCCGTCAGACTTGCAATCAAAAGTCACATGGAAGAGGGAACAAGCTTGTTTTATCCTGCTACAGAGGGTAGAATTCGAAGCAAGGACTTTAAGTTATAAGAAAGGGGATTCCAAGTAAACATCAGGAAAAAAACTTTCTGACCGTAAGAGATGTTTGACAGTGGAACAGGCTCCCTGAGTTGTGGACGCTCCTTCCTCGGAGGTTTTAAAGCAGAGGTTGGATGGCTATTTGTCACGGATGCTTTAGTTGAGATTCCTGCATTGCAGGGGATTGGACTAGATGACCCTTGGGGGTCCCTTTCAACTCAATGAAGGTAAAGGGACCCCTGACCATTAGGTCCAGTCGTGGCCGACTCTGGGGTTGCGGCGCTCATCTCGCTTTATTGGCCGAGGGAGCTGGCGTACAGCTTCCGAGTCATGTGGCCAGCATGACTAAGCCGCTTCTGGCGAATGAGAACAGCGCACGGAAACACTGTTCACCTTCCCGCCGGAGCGGTACCTATTCATCTACTTGCACTTTGATGTGCTTTTGAACTGCTAGGTTGGCAGGAGCAGGGACCGAGCAACGGGAGCTCACCCCGTTGAGGGGATTCGAACCACCGACCTTCTGATCAGCAAGCCCTAGACTCTGTGGTTTAACCCACAGCGCTACCCACGTCCCTGTAAGGGTAAAGGGTAAAGGGACCCCTGACCATTAGGTCCAGTCGCAGACGACTCTGGGGTTGCGACGCTCATCTCACTTTATTGGCCGAGGGAGCCGGCGTACAGCTTCCGGGTCATGTGGCCAGCATGACTAAGTCGCTTCTGGCGAACCACAGCAGCGCACGGAAACACCGTTTACCTTCCCACTTGTGCGGTATCTATTTATCTACTTGCACTTTGATGTGCTTTCGAACTGCTAGGTTGGCAAGAGCTGGGACCGAACAAATGGAGCTCACCCCATTGTGGGTATTCAAACCGCCGACCTTCTGATCGGCAAGCTCAAGGCTCTGTAGTTTAGACCACAGCGTCCCACTTCAACTCTATAGTTGTATGAAAACAACATGACACAAAAGAGGAAAAGGGGATAAAGAAGATGAGAACAAGCTAACTTGGGCAACAGTTCTTAAAGAGTCATAGTAGTAGTTATAAAGATCACCAGGAATGGAAACAGTTCAGAGAGAGAACCAAATGGTCTCTCAGCAGAGCTGATGGGAGTGGCCTCCTTCCCATCCCTCCCCCTGCTGGAGCCTGATGGAATGGCTGCTGTCCAGTGGTAGTTGATGGAGGAAGGGGCCTGATAAATGGGGTTTACAAGATCCCATTGAAAACAGTGGGACAAGATAGTCAGAAATCCCACCGATTTATATGGAAACAACTAAATGAATCCAGATCTGTTCAACATCTCCTATTCATTCACTGCAGTTATTTAATAGTTGTTTTTGGGGCCAAGCCTTCACAAAGCAACATATAGGGGGTGGGGGTGGGATGACAACAGAAGTGCAGGGAAAGTATGAAGCACTGAATGAATACAAGCAAATAGAGGCAAGGCGTATAATGAGATCACCAAAATTCTCTTAAGGCAAGGCAATAAATAGAAAAATGTAAGTTTTAAAGGCCTTTCTTGAATAATGCTCTCCCTCACGCATTAAAAAGCAGCTCTTATTTTTCTCATTTATGTCTTTAGAAACATTCCTATGGTCCTTTTCTGTATAAAAACGATTCATCTGAAGGACATTCAATTTTGAATCCAGAATGGATCCACATGCCTCATCCCATGACAAAGTTACAGTGATCAAATGCAGCAATTGCCCCAGCAATTGAGAGCCAGTTTGGTGTAGTGGTTAAGAGCGGTAGATTTGTAATCTGGGGAACCGGGTTCGCGTCTCCACTCCTTCACATGCAGCTGCTGGGTGACCTTGGGCTAGTCACACTTCTTTGAAGTCTCTCAGCCCCACTCACCTCACAGAGTGTTTGTTGTGGGGGAGGAAGGGAAAGGAGAATGTTAGCCGCTTTGAGACTCCTTCGGGTAGTGATAAAGCGGGATATCAAATCCAAACTCTTCTTCTTCTTCTTCTACTTCCAGTACATTAGATACACTGCGCCCCCTCCCAACAGGGCAACATTTCCCACTGCATATTAAACAGACCAGCAGCTTTGCAGAGTATTTCCCTCTATACTAGAGAAAGGATATTCCACAAGGGGCTCACTGTGGAACTTGTCTGGTTATGAAACTGAATACTTTTTTTCCAGGCACAGTGGTACCTCTGGTTATGTACTTAATTCGTTCCAGAGGTCCGTTCTTAACCTGAAACTGTTCTTAACCTGAAGCACCACTTTAGCTAATGGGGCCTCCCACTGCCGCTGCACCACCGCCACGCGATTGCTGTTCTCATCTTGAAGCAAAGTTCTTAACCTGAGGTACTATTTCTGGGTTAGCGGAGTCTGTAACCTGAAGCGTATGTAACGCAAGGTACCACTGTACTGCATTAAGTAGTGATGAAGCAGGTTTTCTGGATGATATGGGAAACACTTTCCTAGGACAATTCTACAGCTGAACAGCTCCTGCCAAGATGAACTATTTCACTAAAAAATCAAATAAAATCAAAAACCTACAGTCAAAATCCAGCATGATATGAGGCAGACTTAACCCATTGACTCTGCACTGGATTCTGGCCAGTTTGCGAGAAGTTAGTTGCAAAAGAACAAAATGTGTTATGGTACATATTCCCATGAGGAAGTTGATCCAAAAATATGCTGTACGCTTTTCCCCACAGTAACACTTTTGATAGACTCACCTCTGACCCACTCCCGCCTGCAAAAAAAAGTCTAACAGAAACAGCCAATTGCAACTACATTTTTATTACAGCCCACTATGTTTGTGAAATATTCAGTTATGTAATATGTTGCTTTCACTCCTCAATCCATCATAAGGCCTTGGGAAAGTTGAGGTTTCAGAAATGTAATCTCAGAAGATGATAAATAAATCTGACATTAACAAAAGTTCAGGTCACTTTTCTATCAGAAATAGAGGATTTCTTATTTTTTAAAAAAGCATTAGCTTACTTTGAAAAATTAAAGAGGATATTTCAGGTCCAAAAAAATCTGCATATTATACCTCTGTTCAGGCATGTTAAACTAGTTCATTTTTAGCAGGGAATACTGAATACTTGCTTGAACGTAATCATTTTCCAGTATACTCAAGGGATACTTTCTGATTGCAGTATGTTAAACAGGTTTCCTTGATAAGTATTATTTTGCTTATAGAAATCTGCCAGCCTTTGAATTCCCAATGTTTCTTTAATTTGACTCTACCCAATCTAGACACATATTTTGAGTCAAGTCTTTTACCTCATCCAAACAATTCACACGGACATTCTTGCTGCCAAGCAGTCGTGCAGCTTCTTCAGGGCTTCCTAAGGGAGAGGAAGAGTTTGTGAAGTCTACTGTTAAACAGAAAATCAATACAGTGAATCTAATAATTCGTTACATTTGTATCCCATGCTTCCTCCAATAAGACCATGGTAACTATGTAGCTCTTATCTCTTCCTCCCCTTATTACCTTGTGAGACAGGCTAGGCTGAGAAATCATGACTGACCCAAGCCCATCCAGTAAATCTCAGGGCTGAATGAGGATTTCAGCCTGAACTCCTCACTCCGAATCATGGAATCATAAAATTCTGCCATGATAAAGTATGAGGCACCTGTCAAACATTTGCCCTACCACACATATTGTAACAACGTTGTATGGCTTACTGCCCCTAAAACGACACTTTTGTAAAATTATTTTCAGAACGGGGGTTATTGTTTTTGTTTGTTACTACGTCATGATTTTTTTGTGTTTTTATATTGTAAACTGCCCTGTGATCCTCAAATGAAGTGCGGTATGGAGATTTAATGAATAAATAATAAACAAAAACAAACATTTATTCTATTCACATGCAATGCTAAGCTAAAGTATGGCTTAGTGAAGGCACAGGCAAACTCGGCCCTCCAGATGTTTTGGGACTACAACTCTCATGATCCCTAGCTAACAGGACCAGTGCTCAGTGATGATGGGAAATGTAGTCCCAAAACATCTGGAGGGCAGAGTTTGCCTATGCCTGGCTTAGTGTAAATGTGTGGGTTCTTGGAGAGGTTATTAGGGTGTAATGTTTTTGTTTGTTTACTATGTTAGGTATTTATGTGTTTATAGTAAACCATCCTGTGAGCCTCAGATGAAGGGTAGAATGGAAATTTATAATAATGATGATGATGATGATGATGATGACGATGGTGCTACTTTGCTTGTCCTCTGGTCCTGCTGCTGCCCTGCTGCCATGAGCTAAGCCATGATTTAGTTTAGTATGCCATCCAACCATGGGTTTGTGGTTTGTCCCACTCCAGACAAACCATGACTTGTGAAACCAAAAACAAAACATGGTTGCAGTTTGCAAAATGCAATGGCTGAAATCTCTGCTCTGGGAACCCTCTTTTCCATGCTAAGCCACAGTTTGACTAGCGCTGTGTGTAAAGAATCTCAGTAGCTACTTCCGTACGTAGAAAAGAACACATTACATTGTTCCCCTGCTAGTGATTCCCAGCAGCTGACATTCAAGAAGCATTGCAAAAAGGCAAGGCATTATTTCCATGAATAGATAAAGCACTATGACTGAATAAAGTAGCATTCAACTAAGTCTAGCACATGCAGTTTTGTGTGCATCATGTGGCTGCCTCCATCCCCAATACCAGCAACTTGCAGGTGGCATGAGTGGTGGCTCTCACGCTAAGTTAGTTATGATAACGGGCTCTGAAGCCACATGACCTTTACAATACAAAGATTACATCCAAAGGAAACAACAACCTGCCAACAACTCGAAAGTTTTGGTGCCAACACCTCACCCATTAGTAAACAAAACAACCACCTCCGAAATAAGGGGGTAATCTGAAAGGCATATTTCCTCCATCCGCCATTTAACACTCTTTTATAGAAGAAGCATGTATTCCAGCAAAGGAAGGGAAACTTTCCATGTCCTGCTGTTGCTGCTGCAACAAAAGTGCTGCTTAGGAGCAGCCGCTGACAAGGTCTGCCATACCTCTGGAATCATATGACAGCTAGCAAAGTGTTGATTTTTACACGGGTCACTGCAGTCTGCCTTACGCCTCTCTGCAATCCACAGCGAGACTTTCCTTGAATGCAACTATTGAGTACACACTGTGAATTTAAAGCACCCCCCCCAAGTTATAATTTCCAATACCCGTAAACTCCAGTTCACAAGATTCTTGGGTAGGTGTGTGCTAGAAATGTGTGGTATGTAGGTAGAGCTCATTCAAATATTTACTCAGACATGAGACTCACCGGATGACCTTGACCCAGGCCATAGGAGCCAACTCGTAAGGGCCAAAGTCCCTTTGCCCCCCCCAATAAAACATTTGAGGAGGCTGCCCCCCCATGGGCATTGCCATTCAAATGTTGTGTGCATGCCATGTCTTATGACTGATCATGTGGAGCTTACCTGGACCCTCCAATATTTTATTCAGGTTTGCACCTCGGCCCAGTTCGTCTCCCTAGCCCTACCTTGCAGGTTGGTTGTGAAAATAAAACGGGGTGGGGAGGGGGGAGGGTGAGATCAGAAGAAAGAAACATGTTGAATCATATGAACTCCTTGGAAGAAGGGGTAAATGGGATAAAAAGAAACAGAGTGCCTTGTCTCATTACTGAAGCCCTGTTTAGGGAAGTTTTTAAACGTTTCATCATTTATCATGTTTTCAGTGTTCTTTTGGAAGCCACCCAGAGTGGCTGGAGAAACCCAGCCAGATGGGTGGGGTATAGATAAATTATATATATATATATATATATTATATATTCCATTTAATATTACAGTATACAACATTCCCATCATCTTTATCCACTATCCTGCCCTGGCTCTTAGAGCCTATCGACTTCCTTCCCTCCCACCTCATGGCTTTCAGAATTAACCTTTATATCATTGCCATTTATACGTTTCCCAATTCTAACTACACTCATTACAGAATGACTCAAAAGTTAAATAAATATAGAAAGCGAGAAAATTTCTCATTGCAAGTCTTCAGAAGACTTTTATTATTATTATTATTGCTTATTTTGCATGAAAATATGCACGATCTGAGAAAAAAGCAGGCGGCGTGCAACAGTCGCAGGGAGCAGCGCCCAGTCAAAGCACAGGAGAGGCGGCGAGGAAGCAAAAACCTAGGGGGAAAGCCCCTTCCAGAAGCAACCTCCTTGCGCATTAGCACGGGCCCGACGCGCAAGGCCCGGTCGCATAGACTCAAATGCAGCCGACACGCGTCACTCCGCCTCTCGGCTTGGCCTGGAGCCAGACTTCCCTTGTCCGCCTTACCTTTCCCAATCACTCCCAGCAACTCCTTTTCCTCCTCGCTCAAGTCGCCTCTCTTCAGAGACGCCATAGCTCGCTGGCTGCCTTATTTCTTCCTCTCTCAGCCAGCCACGCGCATGCACCTTCCCCGCCGCCGCCGCCGCCCTCTTTCCACTGAGGAGAAAAATGAGGGCAGCCCCCGCTGCTCCGCCAGAGCAGAAGGAACCTCGGCGCGCTCCCCCCGCCCCACGCCGCGCTTCGGCCAGCGGATATCCCCCCCTCTACGCCCGCGCCAGGATCCCCGCCGCTCGCGACATTGTAACTTCCTCTCCCGGAGCTGTCGTGAGAAACAAGGGGAGGGGGGCTAAACCACTGGTTCAAAAGACGGGGGGTGTATAGAATAAGTAAACAAAGCGACGCTCGCTCCCAGTTCGCATCTCAGCCTGGAAGGGGGGGCGAGGGAGTCGGCTTGGACGGTGCCTAAAGAGGAACGCGTGTGGACAGGAGAGTCCCCAACTGGACATGCACAATTTCCTTTATTTTTATTTTCCCCCCCCACTGCTAAAATGGTGCGGCCGGGCGGGGAAGGAGGCGGGGCCTGAGCCGGCGCTCTGCGTGTGTGTGTGTATGTTAATGTGTCCGTCCTTCACTTCTCCATTGTCTGTGGCTGCTGCTTGTGGCGGAGGCGCTGCTGCCGCTGTTGTCTCTTTGCTTCTTCTCCTTAGACAAGAGCCACTTCCCCCAGAGAGGTAAAAGCCTGGCAGTGCGGGGAGAGGGGCAGGCGCCGAGGTCGGGCGGGTGGGAAAGAGGGTGCGGGTCCAGGAGGAAGGGAGACAAAAGCTGGGGAGTGTCCGCGAAATGCACAAAAGAGGCAGAAGCGCGCCTGCACGACCCTCTCCTGCAAAAGGCAGGGGGAGAGAGGGGCGCTGCTCCTCAATTGCCTGCTGCTGCTGACGCCGCCGCCGGAAAAGCAGGGAGTTCAGCAGCCTGGGAGGGTCCGCTTTCCTCTTTCCGCGGTGAACTTCGAGGTTGCGTGTCTTCCTTTCGCAAGGTGACACGAGACAACTCGGGGGTCGGTGTTGCGGGTGCGGGGAGCTGTCATTTATATGGGGTAGGGGGAGAAAAACAACAAGCCGGGTGAATTGAGCGCCTCTAGGAGACGGGGATGCTGGAAGGATAGCTCAGTCCGTGGAGCACGAGACCCTTCAGCTTAGGGTTGTGGGTTCGAATTCCGCGTTGGGCAAAAGATTCCTGCATTGCAGTTGGGGGTGCCGCGGTTGGGCTAGATGACCCTCGTGGTCCCTATGATTCTATCATTCTGGCGGAGAATTGCTTGCTGGTTGCTTCGGCCGGTGCTCGGCAGTGGCTGCTGCATGCGAAGAAACGTGTTGTGTATGGGAGGGTTCAGACGTATCGCCTCCTCCTTGCCTGAATCCTTGGCGGGAGTCCGTTCTGCTGGGTGCAAACAGGCGGCAGAAGGAAGGAGTTGCCTTTGGTCCCTTATAGAGCCTTTCTGGCTTTGGTGAGGTGGTGGTGGTGGGGTGGCAGGAGACCCACTGGGCGCTGGCTGCGGTGGGGAGGACGCGGTGGTTGCTTCGCTCCGGAGCCGCGCAACAAATCTGTGTGTGCAAGGAGAAGGGGACGGTGCTGCCTTGTGCGCAGTTTTATTACCGAGGCGCCATTGGCAGTCCAGAGACCTTGACCTGCGTGGTGCCACCAGCCCGCCTGGCTGCATGTGGGGAGCCATCCCGGTGTCAGGTTGAGACTGCAATCCCATACCCATTTTCCGGGGAGTAAGCTCCATGAAACTGAATGGGACTTGCTTTTGGTGCATAGGATGGCGCTGGAAACGTTTCCCTTAAAAAAGAGAGAGAGACTCTTATGAAATCTGGACAGCGATGTCTTAATTTTCAGGCTTTTAAAAGGAAGGTGTGCTTCAAAAGTTGGCTGAGATTCATTATTTAGTCATCCTAGTGGTTACAGGTGTTTTGTAAGCCTCTTGGAGGAAGGAAAAGTCTAGACATCGCTCAGCTGTTTACTTTCTGTTTACGCATTAAATTGGAGATCTGAGTTCTTTGAGGGATTTCAGATTTTCTTCTTCCACTTAAAAAAAAGGGGGGGAGGGAACGGAGTTGCGTAAAAGCAGGAAATATCATTTTAAATAATTGTTTTATCCGCTGGATACAAGTCACTAGTATTGCTTAGCCCCGTGGATTTCTTGGAGATTAGTTTTTTGGATTGGGTAGTTTTGCAGCCTGCAGCGTAAATGAATTACAGTACATTGAATTTATAAGTTAAGAGCCTTTTGCTGCTCTTTTTTCAGTTGAGGATTAAGGGAATTTCTGCTTGGCATGCTTGAGTTGTAAATTAATACACCTCCTGCATAATACTATTTTTGGTAGGCAAAGTGATTTAAATAACATTTAGATCTTGAACTAGAGAAAAACTTGTGTTAAATGAAGTCTGATCCTAAACATGCTTACTGAGCAAGAGGTCCAGTTGTGCTCCATAGGGATTTAGCCCCTGCTAAGAGTAATTCAATTGGAATAATCATAGTTACAGGTAGGTAGCCATGTTGGTCTGCCGTAGTCAAAACAAAATAAAAAAAAATTCCTTCCAGTAGCACCTTAGAGACCAACTAAGTTTGTTATTGGTATGAGCTTTCATGTGCACACACACTTCTTCAGATACCTACTGGAAGGAACTTTTTAATTTTGTTTTGGAATAATCATGTGTACTTTCCCAGAGGCCAGAATGGGACGAACAATGTTGTTTCCCCTCTTCTTTCAATGCTTAAAGGTAGGGTGTGATATCAAGCAGTGTTTGTGATTTCTGAGCATGGAACCAGAAAGTGTGGTTAGTCTACAGTACACATGCAGCAGAATAGGATGATGGGCCATAGGAGTGAATGCAGGAGGTGCTCTTTTTGAATGATTCCAGTGTAAAACCTCAGTGGCAGTAAAACACACACACCCCTCTTAAAAAAAACCAATAATGCAGCAGAGTGGAAGGTTTTAATTCAGCCCCCTTCCTACTCTGTAAAATTTCCACTAGTAGGGAATTTTGCATGTATAGTATTATTGAAAATGTGAGTTGTATAATAGTACAACCCATTCTGTCATCATACTTTCAGATACTCAGGGCCATATATTTTTATTTCCCACTCCCTTAGATATGCTGTGCTTTAAGGTAAAAGGTAAAGGTAAAGGACCCCTGGATGGTTAAGTCCAGTCAAAGGCAACTTTGGGGTTGCGGCGCTCATCTGACTTTCAGGCCAAGGGAGCCAGCTTTCCGGGTCATGTGGCCAGCAGGACTAAACTGCTTCTGGCACAATGGAAACCAGAGTGCACGGAAACACCGTTTACCTTCCTGCCGCAGTGGTACCTATTTATCTACTTGCACTGGTGTGCTTTCGAACTGTGAGGTTGGCAGGAGCTGGGACAGAGCAATGGGGTTTAGACCACAGCACCACCCGCATTCCTGCTGTGCTTTAAAGACTCTTTGATGTAGTATGTCATGCCAACTTTGTGCAAAATGTATAAACTGGCTTGTGCATGATGCAGCTGTTGAAGTGTATGTAAGTTTGCATGTCTTCCTTCTATGTATAAACAAGACAGAATGTTCATTTATTATATAAGATTTATAAAGGACTTTTTAAGAGGAAAAATAATAAAGTTACTGCAGCTTGACATTTTTGTAGTAACTCAGTGCCAAGGTCAGTTAAAAAAAAATTCAGATTCCATGGTGCAATTAATTAGCATAGCTTGTACCTGAATGACAACTCTGAATTATTTACATTGTTGAGGCAAAATGGAAAACCCCCTCTTTATGGCTTTCTGGTTTCTGCAAATTCACCCACAATTTACAAACATTATTTCCTTGGGAAAATGACCCTCTGGGTTGCTTTATAAAAAGCAAAATGTCATCACTATGTTCACAATAAAACCTAACTTAGGTAACTGTAGTTTGACTGGAAAATAATTGAAACAGTAGGTCAGGTGTATTATAACTAATTAGAACTTTTGTTGTGATTATTGCTTGACCTTTAAGAGATAGGTCTCCTCTCCCATTTGCAGATGGTTGCTAAATGCACTTTATATCTCTTGATTCCATTATGCCTATGGCACACACTGGCAATACTTGTAATTAGATGTGCTCCTTCATGTTGACATTTGATCATCAACCCAGTCATCACATGCCATGGTTAATGGTTCACTATGAATCCCCACTAATGAGTGAAAGCAACAATTCACAACCCTTGGCTTTATGTTTATGTCTGCACAAGGATCCTGGTTTGTCTCACTCTAGCCAAACCACAATTGGTAAGCTAAGAATAAACAGTGGCTTCAGATAATGGCTTGTTTGGCGTGAAGCAAACCATGATCCTTGGTTTGGATAGAACACTAAGCCACGGATTGTGGCCTGTCACTTCTGCCCCCTAGTAGGGGGGAGTGATCTGCACATCTATGGAAAACTATTAGCTTGACTGGGATATGTGAATGCAGCCAGTAATGGATATTAAAAGCCATTCAAAGCTGTGGGCATCTCTCTTGCTTGTGCATATTATTTGCTGTGGTTTAAGGTAGCAAAATCTTTAGGCTGCAAAATAATAGATTTTGTAGTTATTACATGCATGTAGCAATTCTTTTTCTTAAAAAGAATTAAAATAATTTTATGATTTCCATTTATATACATTTTGCTAGTAGTTTAACAGTAAATCAAACATTTCAAAACGACTTCTTTCCTCTTTCTGCGGTTCATTATTTTTTAAATCCTCATTCCCTGCGTATTCCAAGTTATATTAAATCATTATTTTATTCATCTATTTTCATGTATCTATAATTTAAAAACTGCAGGTTATTACAATAGTCCTGTTGATGTTTTTATCTGTTTGCAATTTGTTTGTAAATATTCAATATACCATTTCCATTCCTTTTATAAAAAAAATTGTTATCCTCATTTCTTATTCTTCCGGTAAGTTTCGCCATTTGTGCATAGTCCATAAGTTTTTGTATCCATTCTTGTTTCGTTGGGATTCCTTCATTCTTCCATTTTTGGGTGCATGTAGCATTTCTGAATCACTTATTTTTCTTCTGACAGTTTTCGGTGCTTTATGGTTTTTGTCTCAATTTGTTAATGAACAAGTAATTACAGTGTATGTTAAGCAGTGCAGGGCAGATTGCTAGTCTATGGACTGGTCTAACGTGTTTGATTTAGAACAGGCAACTAAAGTTGTAAAGCAATAGCTCCCCCTCACCCCACTGTATCCTGAGAATGTTTTCCATCACCCTACCTCCTCCCCTTGTGTTATATATATAACTAAATGG